GGTGCTGCTGACCTGCCACACCGTCACGCTTTCACGTCATGGATGGTGCGTTCAGTAACGAGTAACCCAGCGTTACTTGACTTAGTAACTGTAATATTACTATTTTAGAAAAGTACTTAGTTACACAACTAGTTACTGGGAAAAGGAATAGGCCTATTATTATGCGTTACTGGAACGTTACTGAGTAACGCATTACTGCCCAACACTGGAGATGGCAGTACCAGCAAAGCAGAGATCAAAGCATGGAGGAGTTTATGGGATAATGGAAATAAAGGAAGACATTTATACAAGATTCAGCAGAAAGTGAGGGAGGAAAGATCAATGGGGAAGAGCAGGAGGGAACAGTGTCAAGGTAGCAGAATTAGACTAGGTCACACAAAGTTAAATGCATCTCTGCACCTTATTGGAAAACATCCATCTGGAAATTGTGAGGCATGCAGTCAACCAAAAACTGTGGAATGTGTGCTGTTTGAATGCACTAAAAACTCAAAGGAAAGATTGGATTTAAGGTATGGACTGGAACATGAAGGAATTAAAGAAATGGACATTAAAACTATTTTCTCAAACAACTCCGGAAAGATGGTGTTTAAACACATCTCAACTTTTTTACAACAAACTGGACTGAACACAAGGATTTAAGCATATGTAACTACGATATAGTAGGTGGGGATGATGTTCCATCTGGATGCAAGTCGCCAGTAAAAAGGACCATCCTTCACGAAAGGAAAGGAGATAATGGCGTCCCATAATTCCTTGCGAAGTACGTTCTCAAACTCAAACGATAAAATCCATTGACCTTTAACATTTAGCAAAATCACTGCAATACAGACGCACATTATGATTCTTGAATAAGACAATTTGCTTCTTTCTTTTGGTTTGTTTTCTTTTGGCTTTGCTGTAATCTAATGCTGTTTAAACACCGATTTATGTTTCAGATTGTTGAAATAAGCTTACGTGTTGTATTAGAATTTTATGACGGATAAAGGATGTTGATCAAGTTACCAATGGCTATCAAGCAAAGTGCAACCTTATTGGTTCTTGGATGGAAAAACAGATCTTAGGGCTTAAAACCAGTCTCTAGCAACGTATTTGAAGCCTACTGTCGCTGCTTAATGAATGAGCGCGGTATTAAAATTTCACACGATCGTTAATGATTATCAGTAAGCTATGGTAACACTCAAGGCATGGCTGTCTCCCTCACCTTTTTCTTCAAATGACGAGTGAATGTGAAGGAGAGAGCGACAGAAAGTGACAGTGAAAGTTAGCGGAGGATAAGATCAGCATTAAAGTGTCAGGTTACAGCTCTGTCCTCTACTGTACATCCTGATAGTTAAATTAAATTAAAAAGAAAGGACGGTGTTGACCACGGAGGAGCTGAGATTAATAATGTTAAAGCAAATTAGGGATACAAACTAACGTTAGTCCTTCTAAGCTAATGAGGAGAAGTCTTTTGGATTTTGATGTACAAATGAAATGCTTGTAATAATACAGAAGGGAGGTGGTTCTCATGTTGCCTATTATTTATGTTAAATTCTATAATGTATAAAGCAGTAAATTAAGACACAAAAGTCAAACATGAATAATCTGTAATGATTCTGTGGTCATGTTTTCCTGCCATTATTAGGGGGTGATGCTCAAAACAGCTGAGTGCTGCGCAATGCATGTAAAATCACTGTGGAGAGCATCAAAACTAAATTTTCTCAGATCTAATGGTTATAATTCCACCCCAGTTGACTTATTTAGCAAGTTTAGCTTTTGGGGTGTAGTTTATTGCAAATCTGCTCTAGATTCCTATTACATTTCATACTTATTCACAGATGTGGTAATAACAATGTTCCAAAATTATGAGGAACTGCATATATCTTTATTGGAAAACATGAAGGAGGACCGCCAATCCCCCACATTAAAATACCATCTTAATTTTTTACATTATACTGCCCTGTGAAAGCATGTCTCAATCCCTATGGGCATTATTTCTGTTATTATTTGTAAATGTACCTTCTTTATGCCTGCCTCGACTTCTCCCTGCACTCACTCACTCACTCACTCACTCACACACCTATACCTCTGGTATCTCACTGCAAATACTTTGCACTTTACCTGCTTCTCTCTGTCTCCCTGTCTGCTCCCCTGAGTTTATCCATCAGCAGTAGGTTATGTTTTATAAAGTCACTGAAAAGACACAGAACTCTTTTCTTTTTTCCACCAGTGATCTATTTTTTACGTCAGCAGGTGCACCGCATGCCAGCTTGTTAATTACGTAGCTTATCAATATCATCGTACATCCCGGTGTTTCACTGTTGACATGACATCGTCCGATGCCAATTTTGTAGACATCACTCAACCCTAATTTGAACACATTGACTTACTCTGCAAGTAATTTTGTGACTGCATTTCCTTTGTGTGCTTATTTTTTTAAGTTGTGATATAGGTTTTAAATTTCATTCATAATGGTCTTAAAAAGTCTTAAATGTGACCAGGTGAATCCTGCAGAAACCCTGATATTGTTACATCACCTTGTCTACCTTACTTAACAATTTGCATAGTGTGGGACTTCTTATTTTAAACAATCTTTATTAGCTATCTTTATTTGCTTATGATTACATAAAACTCCACATTTAAAGCTCCCTTTTATATTATTTAAGTAAAAGTGCTGCTGATGAAATAAAATTATGCATAGTCGCTTTTTCCACAAAACACAGTAAAGTAAGTAGTAAAAGGAAATTTTTTTAGCTCAAGATTCAAGTTATCACTTAACATCAAAAAATGTGGAAATAGAGAATGTTTAACATTATTCCAAAAAAGAATGAAAACAAATTGATTATCAAAATTGTTCTTTGTTAATTATCTGATCAAGCAGTCAATTACTTAGTCTATTCAGCTTTATGCAAGATGTGCCTTATTTCGTGTCTGTTAAATGTAGAAATGACGGAAGATGTCGTGAGAAGATGATACTAATAAAGGGAACCTGAATTGTAATAATGGAGTTGTATTTGTATCTATCTGAAAATTTTGTAAATTTTAAGTTTACTAGTAGTAATTTTGTTGAGTAAGTTTCCATTAGTATTTGAGTCTAGCTCAATTAATTTTTTTGAGTAGATTTCCCTCAGAGTATAAGTTGTGCACAATTACATTTATTGAGTAAAGAACAAGTGGAATTAATTTTAATAAGCATCAGTGAATCGATGTAATTTAGTATGCGGAAATTAAAGGTTTTTTAAAAATTTATTATATTTAAGTTAAGGTTTACTCAAAAACTTTCCACATATATTTTGAGTATTCTGAAATTATTCGGGTTTACAGTGTATCATTACGCTAAATCCTCATTAATTTACTGTTAAATACGATTTAGGATAGATGTTTTCCTACAGTGCTATTACTTTCACTGCTGCTAATGCAAATTTTTGTATGTATAGAGCTTGCAGAGGGAAGTCCTGAATGGCCACCTTATTCCTACTCCATATCTCAGTCTGACATTTGTTCTTGTTAGTTGTTGTGGGTTGAAATAGGATTTGATTTGCGCCGACAAAACAGTGTAGTGTAGAGTTAGCATAAGTCAAGCAAGTTAACAGAAAACTACAATAAGATATACATGTTGATGCAAAAATATTTTTCATAAAATAATAATAAAAAAGGTGATTTAGTGAGAAAAGAGAGAAAGAAGTTCATCCACCAATCTTAGGCATCTTAGATTGCATTTCCAATAACCAAAGGGGGCAGCACTGTCGCCTCACAGCAAGAAGGTCGTGGGTTCAAACCGGCCTTTCTGTGTGGAGTTTGCATGTTCTCCCTGTGTCTTCCTCCTACCATCCAAGGCTAGGTTAATTGGTGTCTCTAAAATTGTCGTTAGGTGTGAGTGTGAGTGGTTGTTTGTCTATGTGTGGCCCTGCGATGGACAGCCAACCTGTCCAGGGTGTACTCCGCCTTTCGCCCGATGTCAGCTGGGCTTGGCTCCAGCCCCCCGCGACCCTGTACGCAGGATAAGTGGATAGATGGATAGATGGATAACCAAAGGGGAGACTGTGTTAAATAACCTTAAGACAAATAACTGAAACAATGAAGGTTCATTGAAGACAGAATGCCACATGTCATTATTGTGATACATGAGTTTATTCCATAATTCTCATGTTAAATTATTTTACATTAAACATTTCATGTGAACAACTTGTCATCCCCAAACTTGAAATTCGAAAAAAAGACATTCTGGTCAAAATATCACCTGACTGGAGGCAGTCAGCTTGATCTCATGACGTTATTGCTGCCTGTGTGTGACGCCACATCAAATCAGGAGCAAGTCACAACTACTTCAGACTAATTTGGTGCAAGCCTAGCTCAACTCAAGTACTCAGTACTGGATGCAGGCCATTTACATTCAAAAAATTGTCGAGTTGAATTATACCAGCCTTTTCAATTATTTTCCCAATAAAATTATTATTCAATACAGTCCAGGATGCACCTACTTAGAAAGGACAAAATAACTGCAGTTTTCAGTGATTTTGAAAAAAAGAAAGGTAAGCAATGGATGAGCTAGAAATTCACTCCTGATTACCCCTTACAATTCCAGATCATCCATTGCTAAGCAACTGAAAATATAAAAAAAACCAAAAACATAATGGGGCAGCATTTCAAAAACAGCAGGTAGATTATTTAAGGCGCTTAACTGCAACCTCCAGAGTTTTGGCATTGACAGCATTGAAAGTGGACATTGTAGCCAATTGTCTTGTTCCATTGTTTGACATGGAGGAATTTGGGGTCATGTTGATATTTTAGATGTTGCAAACTAATTACATTTACTGACAGAGAATAGATCAGGGGCTAATTGTGGGGGATTGGGGATTAGTTATCAACAGCAGAAAATAACACACGGGAATAGTAAATATGTTTTGTTGACGATGATGGTGATGATAATTACAATTATACAGTTATTGTCCCTAAACCATTATGTTGCATTTACTTATTAGTCCATCCTCTTGAAAACAAAACTAACAGTACTGCATGTACATGGAAAATCTAACAGAAAACAAATATGAATCTGATAGATGGTGGCAGAGGCTTTGTTTTTCCTTCTGCTTTTACTTATTGCTTTTTAGTCATTTGTAATTTAGGCATCCTAAGAATTGATCCCAGCGCTGGTTCACAGCTGACCGATGTCCCATTAGGACTGGTTGATCCAAACGCACCACATGAAGATGATGACCAGGGCATAACAGGAGATGAGCAGCAGATAGATGCGAAAGAGCAGGTAGTCGAGGACATATCCTACGTGGCACCACTTGTCCTGCAGCTCGCTCTCCTTCTGCAGCGAAGTGAGGTGGTCACGAAGGTCCCCTAGGTATTGACAGATCTGTTGCAGCTCAGGCAGAGCAGCAGTACCTGGAAGGAGATTAGCAATAGAAGGGATGACAGTCTACACCTAGTGAGCTGTAACTGTTATAGCTGTCTGAACCACCTGACTAATGTTAGCTTGCTAATATGTGATCTGTTTAGAGTGAAAAATTAAATAGGTAATATGGTCAGAAACATGACCTGCAATTTAAACTTTACTACTGTATAGTCTTTAATATCATATATCATATAATATTAATACATCACAACCCCTCCAGGTGTTGTCATCTGTGCTTTGTTTTGGTAGCTGGTATGGCTGCACATGCATGAAAGTATCTCCCTGTGAAACAGATAGCCTTAAGGAGAGTGATGTAATGGCTATTTTGTGCAGAGAACTACAGATTTATTTCCAACAATCCAGAGCTGGTGATTGTTTTCATCCAATCTTGAAATGTGTTTTTTACGATCATCTGCGAAGCCCCCATTTGTTTTGGTCTGAGATGGTGGCGCTCTACTGCGACATTTAGTGGCAGTAAATGTTGCATACAGTACCTTTAATAGCTAAGACATTTGATAAAGCAATAATTTTAAGGACTTCATACACAAGTAAGTTAGTTATTCTTATACAAATAGCTGGTGTAAGTTTGTTGCTTTAAATTGGCTTTGTGAATATATACACATATATTGGCAGGCTAAAGGAAACCATGAGGAGGCAGCAGGGAAGGCCGCCACAGCCAAAAACCTACAAAGAACAAGGCAGGACCTGAAAAGTCAGCTGAATGGGAAGAAGAAGACCGAGCAATCAACATATACGCCCTGCCAGTCATCAGTCTTTACACTAGGCGGAGCGAGAAACCGAGGGCTAGTGAGTGTCAAGATCACTGTCTAGGATGAAACAACAAATATCCAGGAGTACGTAAGGAAGAATATGTATATGTACTGTATGTGTATATATATACGGCATATATGGAAAAAAACTGCTTATGAGTTGTTTGATTATGGAGATGAAACATTATGAGCAAAAGCAAAAATGGTCTAACTAGCTTTAGTGAGACAGCTATCATCAGTATTAAACTTAACTGTGATTCACTGTTAGAGGCATGTCTTTTTTAGATGCTACATATTTCCTTTCCTGACATACATAGATTCATATTTTTGTTTGTTTTAATAGATAACATCCAGTATGTTCAAGGTCAGGGCACTGAACAGCTCAAAGTTGCAGGTAATGTCAAAATAGTATTTGTCTGTTTAATTACCTCCAGTGCGGGCTGGGTGCTGGGCAGGTGTCTGGCTTGCTGGTTGGATGATCCACGGCCCTGAAACGCCATTTGAGCTGTCAGGTTTATCCTTTTGTGTTACAGACGGGGGCTGGACATCCTCCGACCATCGGTAGCAGATGAGGTTGGCGATGTATTTGAGCACAACCACCCTTATCCAGTGTGGGACCTCTTGATATTTCATGGAGCTGTGGTGGAGGACATTGGTAATGACGACTGTCTCCAGTAGACTGATGACCATGAGGGCCAGACACACAGAGAAATAGATACCTAGATTGACGGATAGAGATCAAAGGATACACATTTCAGGACATACAGTATTTTTTCCTTAGTGAAAGTATATGGTCTCTGTTTCAATTAGTTAGCTTACCCATCTGTATTGTCAAAATGGTACTTTTATTATTTGTGTTAACTGAAAGTCACAACAGATCAAGTGCATGGTTCACTTTAACAACTCAGTTATAACACAAATTCTTATTTTTAATAAGTGTTGCACCAGTGTGGGATTCATGAGAAAATCTAGTTTCTCTCTGAATGATGGAGCATAATATGCAAATGAAGAGATGTATTGATGAACTGACTACTGAGTTTTGTAGTATAATTGTTGTAGCATGACAGACCTAGCTCTGCAAAATTTTGCTGTCTATTTTCACCAGTCCATAAAAAGTAATTACAATTCTGTGGTCCCAATTAAGAAAAAAATAGTCATTGAGCGCAATGAAATTTGTATTTTTTGCCACTACTTATGCCGTTACTTATTGGGACGACTTCAAGGAGGATTGTGACATTAGGACCTGTAAAAAAGATTACTTCTTTTTTAATTGACAGATACAGCATCTACTGAAGAAAATTAAAGTGAAACTCCCATGTGTGGTTGCTTGATTGCATAATTTCCAAAATTGATGTTTACCACATTGATATCACTAAATTAAACAGGTTTAAAATTACACTGTATGTTCTTTATAATTAATTTGTAGTTCCTACAATGGTCTTGAGAACAGAATATTAGAATGACTTGGGTCATGAGAATTTTGGGATGTAAAAATTGAGTTACTGACCAGAAAACCCTGAAAAATTATTTTTATTCTGACTATTTTGATTACTTTCAGTTATTTGTATCTATGTTGATTGGCTGTTGCATTGTCAGATATTTGGACTGTTTTGTAGTTTGGCAAAATCAAGCAAAGGGGAAAAATTTAAAACTGCGTTAATAGATTTATTGGCCACTTGGGGGCAACAGAAAACACAACACTACATATTATCACCTGACAGACTTATAATATCTAACATGTTGGCAAACGGAATACTTTTTACACATTTACATACATGAGCAATGTCTTTCAAATTCAAAAGTCATTTGATAATATTGGTTAAATGAAACCTTGATTAGTGCAGCTTTAAGAAAACGGCTTGTGGTGGGTGTCACCACTTCTGACCTATGATGGGCGTGCCGTTTGCTGTGCTGGGCAGCAGGTCGTTCATGATGAGCAGGAAGACGGTGTAGCCCAGGATGAGGGTCATCTTAAAGGAAGCGCGGTCAACGCTATGGGGGGGCAGGTAGAAGGACAGGATGTCGATGACCATGAGGAAGGAGCTGGGGATCAGCAAGTTGACCACATAGAGAATTGGCTGGCGCTTTATGACCACCTAGTGAAGAGTCAGTTTGAAGAATCTCAACAGATTTACTGTACAGGACATCAATAACCTTCTTCTAACAAAATGTTCATGGTAGGCTACTTATCATAACATATATCAAACTATCTTTACTATATGAAGAGGAAAAAATAGGCTACATTACAAGGTAACATGTACACCAAGTTAAAAAGAGTAATAATTCTTGAGGAAACATATATTTATGTATTGTTAATTCTATGTTAAACTTGCAATAACTGATGTCTTGGTCCTTGGTCCAAGTTGTGAACACTGTATTGACATATCATCACTTTTTAATCAATGACGAACTTGTTAGCAAAGAGTTGCTTTTTTACACATAGCAGGAATAGACAATCTTTTTAGTTATTTAGAGTCATGTTGCTGTCCACCTGATGAATGTAAGTCCAATATTCACTCTCTTTAAGCTGTCTGTTTTTGGTCTGTACCAACTCTTGAGGGACATATCGGGCTGTTTAGCTGCTAAAATATGGTATATGTTCACCAGCTAGTCGCTAACTATATGTCTGCTGTTTGCTGGTGAGCAGGTAGTGGACAGAGGGTTTTTTAGAGCTTTTCTCTGAAAACAGCTGCATGCTGTGGCAACAATGCTATGAAAGTGGTGAGAGTGAACCAAAACAGTAAAGTTGCAGGCCAGACAGATAGAGCTGAAACTCAATATAAAGCTCCGTAGAAGCCGAGAAGAGTCATTGATTTGGGTGAAAATGCTCTATTCGCTCATCAGTATGAACAACCACTTTTACAATGTCATATTGTTTTCACCTCATCATTTGATTTGATTTTTATTGCCACTTTTAAGGAATAATGTTACATTTTGTCCATACCCATTCGCTCTGTTAGATCAGATTTGTTGCTGCCACTTGCCAGGACACTCTTATAAAAGAGATTTTTAATCTCAAGGAGTTTTTTGTCCTGGTTAAATAAAGGTTTGAATGAATGAATGAATCAGATTATCAATACCATTGCCATGTTTGTATGTTAAAGGTACAGTATGTAGGAATTGGCCACTTGTCAAATTCCTACTCCAAATGTCAAACAATCCCTTTATCAGAAGTGACTGTTGTTACTGTACTATGTCTGATAGCCAGATGTTTTGTATACAGCTATTACATTTGCAGATGTAAGAGTAGTAAACTCAGGGGTTTTCCTCACCCAGAAGGTGATGATGTCCCACTCGTCAATCCCAAACTGGAGGATGGAGGTCTCCCCCAGTATGTCCACCAGCTCCCACTCTCCACTGGCTTCCAGGTAACGCTTTGAGTTTTCAGACATCTCCTTAAAGGTCAGGGCTGGACTCACCCTTACGTCCTTTACTGTGAAAGAAAGAGAAAAAACAATGAGAGACTGAAAACTAGCCTAATAGTTCTTCGCTACAATCTCAGCAAACCATACTGCAAAAGATCCCAAAAGTGCAACAGACTGTAGTTGCATTTCCTGACCCACTATTGAGCCAGCCTGAAGCTGGTTTGGTCTAAGTTATTGACAATATTTGTCTAAGTGTAGCCAATGGCTTGGTGAGTTTATGACTGTGTAAATGTCTTACTGGTGTGCATGTAGGAGCCAAATGTAAATGTGCAATTCTGCACGTCAAAAGGAAAGCTGAAGATCTCCAGGTTGCAGGCTGAGACAAGCCTAAGCATCCTGTCCCAGCGGATGCGACCTGTGTGGTTCAAGTAGACGTAAGGACACGCTTGGGAAACATCATCATCCACACTGGGAGGGTTGAATGTGGAGAAGTCAGGATGAAGTTAAAAAAATAAACAGAAACACAGTGACAGAAGAGATGAATGAGATGGTTAATTCAATGAGACTCCATGGGGAAACAAACAGAAGTAAAATCACTTTCACAATTCATACAATTTTTCTGCTCCCTCAACTTCGCATGGTGAATTTTAAAACATGTTTAACTAGAGCCGTCTTTCTCAACTGGGGCGCATCGAGCCACTTAAAGGAGTCATGGATTTTGAGCGGTCCTTAAGTTGCATAAATATGATTCATGTGGTGACAAAAAAAAAACAAAAGTGCTCTGATGCAAGCAACGCTATTTTGCTAACCTGGGGTGCAGCTTTTGCATTTTTTGGCTTCTGAATGGACCACTGAATTAGGGGGTGAGTACAAAACTCTCAACAATCCATCAAAAAGGAACAAAAGCTTTTACAGTTGGAGAACTTACAACTCATACACAATGATGTCCGGAGACCAGAGCCGACTCACAGGGAGAGAAATCCTGGTGACGCCGTCACACTCATCAGGGTCCCAAACTAGGAACTCATGGTGCCAGTACTGCAGTTAATTAGTCATCAATGTTAAACTTGCAATAGAAAACCACAATGTCTGCTTGCCTGTCATTTTATAATCTCTAAAGCGGTTCCTGCTGTGGTTACAGACACATGATACATATGTATCGGATTCCATAAAATTTTTTGAAAGTCTATTATTTCTTTCCGTGCTACTTACCAGTCTCAGCCATAAGAAAGTAGTGAGTATCTGTGTTTTTTCATTCTGAAATACAGTAAACAACAAGTAAACCTCACGTGAAGCTGATTGGTACCTCTTAGACCAGGTTAGAGTTAAGTCAAAAATGCAAATATCTATAACAATACATATGATCATACTGACCTGTGTTTACTGTGTTGGATATGTTGAATGAGTTACATTTAAGAATGGGAAAACAAAATTTAAATTTAGTTAGATTAAACTTACATGGAGCTATGGAAGCTATGAAAATAGAATTATTATATTATAATTGGCAAAATGTTTATGTTAAAGATGTTAATGATTCATATAATGCATTCTTGGAAATATTTACACAAATTTATGATAATCATTGAAAAGTCATGTAAAAAGAAGAACAAGCTATATATGGATTTTATTAAGTGTCCAACCAAGGAAAAAGAGCAACAGTATAAAAAATATAAAAATAGACTAACATCAGTACTAAGAAAGCAAAAAAAGGATTACTATCACCAGCTATTGCAAAAATACAGACATGATATAAAGGGTACTTGGAGGATTATCAATAACATAATGAAAAATCATAAAGAGAGAGACTTCCCATTGTGTATCAAACATAATAACACAATTATAGAAAATAAAGAGGCTATTGTTGATGCCTTTAACCAGTATTTTGTTAATATTGGTCCAAATTTGGCTAATGAGCTACCAAAGTTTAATAAGGAATATATCAGCCCTACATTTAATAATATTAATAAAATGTTTCTTGGAGGAGTATGTGACAGTGATGTTTTAGAAGTAGTAAGAAAGTTTAAAAATAAAAAGTCTACTGACTGCAATAATATTGATATGGACCTTATCAAAGAAGTCATCCACTGTATTATTAAACCCTTCACCTACATTTGTAATAGATCTTTCTTAACTGGAACTTTTCCTGATGAAATGAAAATAGCAAAGGTGTTTCCAGTTTATAAAAGTGGAGATAAGCAAACACTATCTAACTATAGACCTATATCACTGTTACCCCAGTTTTCAAAAATACTTTTAAAAATTGTTTATAAACAGGTTGGAATCCTTTCTTAATAAATATGATGATCTAAGTGAGCACCAAAATGGATTTAGGAACAACTGCTCCACATCCTTAGCTGTGATGGAGCTTGTTGAACATGTTGCAGTTGCAGTTGACCAAAAACTCAACACAGTGGGTGTGTTTATTGATTTACGTAAAGCATTTGACACTATTGACCATGCTTTATTGCTGAAAAAATGTGAACAATATGGTTTGCGAGGGGTCACACATCAGTGGTTAAAGAGTTATTTAAGTAATAGATTTCAGTATGTACAAATTAACAATACACAGTCACAATTAGAAACAGTAATATGCGGTCTTCCTCAAGGTTCAGTTTTGAGACCAAAATTATTTATTCTCTATTTAAATGACATCTTTATAGTATCCACAATGTTGAAATTTATAACGTTCGCTGATGACACAAATATTTTCTGTTCTGGAAAAAATATGGATGAATTATTGCAGTCGGTAGAAAAAGAATTAACTGTGTTAAAGAAGTGGTTTGACTATAATAAGATATCTTTAAATGAAAATAAAACTAAATTTATGATATTTTCTGGTAATAGGACTCACAGTAATGCAAAATTACGTTAAATGGAGTTGAAATTGAAAGAGTCTATGAAACCAAATTCTTAGGTGTGATCCTAGATAATAAATTTAGTTGGAAACCACATATTGAATACATTAGAAGCAAGGTAGCAAAATCAATCGGAATATTTTATAAAACAACAGATCTAACAAATAAAAAAGGCTTGAGTATTATATTCCTCCTTAGTTATGCCTTATCTGTCATACTGTTCAGAAATATGGGGAAATGCAAATAAAACAAACATAGATGTGTTAATTAAGTTACAAAAAAGAGCTATTAGACTTATTAATAAAGTAGGATATCGCAAACCAACCAACAAACTCTTTATTCAAAGTAATACCTTAAAATTCACAGATATTGTATATAAAAATATTGGAAATAATGTACAGAGCATTTAACAAAAGTCTTCCATCTTCCAAATTATTTAAGTTAAGAGAGGGTAGATATAATCTAAGAGGCCTGTTTATGTTTGAATGTGGAAAAGACAGAACTAATGTAAAATCTAGATGTGTTTCAGTTATGGGTGTGAAATTATGGAATTCACTAAAAGATGATTTGAAATTATATACTTCTCGTTTAGCTTCAAAAGATCTTTAAAAAAGAAAATTGTTAATGATTATTCAGTTAGTATGTAAATCTTGTTAATACTATGTAAAAAATGTATGTGCAGTATTGTATAATTATGTATACTGTTTTTATAATTTATAATGCTGATTCTTCAGGTATATGGTTAAATAGGGTAGGCAAATATAAGCCTTGGCTTCAGCCTACTCTTTTTTGGTTATTTCATTGTAAATTTACCAAATAAAAAAATCATTCATTCATTCATTCATTCATTCATACAATACATATGATAATCCATAGTATGAATTTGAGTGGTGCTAGCACATATTTTGAAAATGCTGTTAGAGCCAACATCTGTTTCTAATTAACAAACTCACCACCCCCAGGACAGCATACAGAGTGAAGGAGATGTTGGTTATGGTGGGATTGCTGAGGTTCACTGCTGGCCTGAAGGATTGTAGGTCAAACACAGCCTGCATGGATTCATAGGTTGGACCACTGTGGCCTTGTTTGCAGGACAGTTTACTAAAACATAGAGACACTGACGATAGAGAAAGAGAAAAAACATTTTTGCATTTATTACATCTTATTTGCACTTTCCCATTATCAATTAATGAAAATGAAGAGCTGTTTTCTAAATATTATGCTACTAAACAACTTAAAACAAAATGCTGTTTTTCTTTTACAAGTTTGCTTACAAACAAGGTTACTAACAAGGTTACTAAACTGATTAATATAAATCTGGAAATCATTATTATAAAAATCATTTGGACATAGCACTAAAAGATCTTTGAAAAATCATTATTTAATTAAACTGGTTGCCAAAAACTCTTATATACAATAACAACTCTATTCAAATTTGCTCAGGCAAAAAAAGAAAATATGACATTAATATATCACCGCATTGTAAGGGTCCTATTACTAAAATATTAACAGTACTGCTTATTATTCACATGAGGAGAAAGAGGATTGTTCAGTTGCAGAGCTAAACATGCATTAGTCTGGAAAACAAAATGCATACATAACTAAAAGCAATAAAGTAGTGAATAAAAATAGGTTATCATTACCTGAAATTAAGAGTAAAGCTGAGATGATGCAGATGCTCTGCTGAGACAGACTCATGCTGAATGTTTCTTATGAACCAAATATCCTCCACAACCACCAATCTAATTGTGTGTAAATCAAAGATAGTTCCTACTGCAGTGTAAATGCACACACACATGCATTTGTCTTAGCAAGATGTAGAAATTAATTCCCTGGAGACTTCCCCTAACTCTAACCACAACAACTACATGCCCAACTCCAGCCCAACCCATAACATAACCCTAACCTTAAACAAAGACTAAATCTCAAATTTGATGGTTTACATTTTAAAAAACAGCATCTTGTAGCTCAACATTAAATGAGTCCCCATAATGTGACTATGTGAACTTTTTTTATTCCTTACAGCATGAGTTATACACACACACATACACACATACAGTTGCATGCAGACTATACCTCTACAAATGAACAAAACAAGGGACTAATTAAAATAGGTATATGTTAATTTATTTGCAATTGTGTATACTTTTTCTTTCAGTACAAACCTTTTCAAACTTTTATATCACAAACACGTTTACAGGCAGAATATGTCCTCTCCTTTGAAGGGCATTCAGTCCTGATGAATAGATATAAATGAACAGAAATTAAAAGGACAGAACTGAGTTATTGCCAGATCATAAGCACATACAGGGACATGTTGTTTTACACCTCTGGTAACAACTTGTTTTCATTTTTTTTTCAGCACCTACACGTCCAAATGGGAGTTAGAATCTGAATGAAGGTGTTATTGGAGCAAAACAACTGAGCACCTGTGACAGTGGAATTGTAGGGTTGTAGAAAATAGTAGCCTTGACGATATGGCAGCTACAGAAGTTTGGAAAATGGCGACATACATGACGTAACAATAGCTAACCTGGCTAATTGTAAACAATGGCTGGCCTTTTTCCGACATGTAACCTTATTTGAAGATGAGTAGTACTGTTTTTTAAATAAAATTTGTGCCCAATAAGTTTGATAACCTTATAACCTAACCAAAAGAAAGAGACACATTCCCTGATTTTCTGAAAAATCTAAGCTAGAAATAATGAATAAATACCTCATAGTAACAAGGACTGAAACAATATTTATTAATGTGCCATGTAGCTGTTGACAATATGCAAACTGTTGGCATATATCAGTCTGTTTGTTATCTTGTATTTTATAACTACATATATATTATTAATGCATAAAGTAATAAAGAGCAGTACTTACAACAAACCTTAATTTAATTTTCAAATAAACTTTTTTACATTTACTCATTTGGCAGACACTTTTATCCAAAGCGACTTACATTTGAAGAACAACATACAAGCATCAACAAAGCATCAATACAGCAAGAAAGAGGTTCCCACTGTATAGGACCAGAAGTAACTGAAGTACCCCTTTACCTAACACCTTGCAGTGTTTAGGATTTTAATAGGTCATCTTCTTTGCTTATTTTGTGAATAGTCATAATGTCCATATTACCGTGAAGCCACATGAAACAATGATGAAGATGAGCTCAGCAGGCTATCACTCTGTCATTTTCATTCTCAGTTAAGCTCCCACTGTGTTAAATGCCTCAGATTACAAAACTAATAAGTCAACAGTCTGCTCCATCAGACTGAGACATTCTGCTGGAGCAACATTAATTTATCATAATTTGGTGAAATGTGTAACCACCAGAGGCTTATATTGAGTCAATTGACTGATTGATGTGGCATTACTTAAACCGGTGGTGTATTAGCGTAATTAATGCTTAGATTGTACAACAGGTGCATTTGCTTTATTCTCATGTTTTCGTAATAGCTGACGCCAAGGCAAACACAAAGGTATGCAAGTGGCATATATATATATATACTACCGTATACAACCGTACTTTGGGGTCACTTAGAAATGTCCTTATTTTTGAAAGAAAAAAGATTTTCTTCAATGAAGATTAAATTAATCAGAAATGCAGTCTAGACATTGTTAATGCGGTGAATTACTATTCTAGCTGGAAAGCTGATTTTTTATGGAATACCTACATAGGTGTACATAGGCCCATTTCCAGCAACCATCACTCCTGTGTTCTAATGGTACATTGTGTTAGCTAATCGTGTTGAAAGGCTAATTGATGATTACAAAACCCTTGTGCAATTATGTTAGCACAGCTGAAAACTGTTGTGCTTCTTCTTTTTAGAGAAGCTATAAAACTGGCCTTCCTTTGAGCTAGTTGAGTATCTGGAGCGTCAGTATTTGTGGGTTCGATTATACTCTCAAAATGGCCAGAAAAAGAGAACTTTCTTCTGAAACTCAACAGTCTATTCTTGTTCTGAGAAATGAAGGCTATTCCATGCGAGAAATTGCCAAGACACTTGAGATTTCCAACAACAGTGTGCACTACTCCCTTCGGAGAACAGCACAAACGGGCTCTAACCAGAATAGAAAGAGAAGTGGGAGGCCCTGGTGCACCACTAAGCAAGAGGACAAGCACATTAGAGTCACTATTTTGAGAAATAGACACCTCACAAGTCCTCAGCTGGCAGCTTCATTAAATGGTACCCGCAAAACGCCAGTCTCAACGTCCACAGTGAAGAGGCGACTCCGGAATGCTGGCCTTTTAAGCAGAGTGGCAAAGAAAAAGACATATCTGAGACTGGTCAATAAAAGGAAAAGATTAAGATGGGCAAAGAAGGGGAAAAAAGTGTTATGGACAGACAAATCCAAGTCTGAGGTGTTTGGATCACACAGAAGAACATTTGTGAGACGCAGAACAAGTGAACAGATGCTGAAGGAGTGCCTGACGCTATCTGTCAAGCATGGAGGTAATGTAATGGTCTGGGGCTGCTTTGGTGCTGGTAAAGTGGGAGATTTGTACAATCAACATATATTATTTGTACATAAAATGTCACTTGGTGCTTCAAATTTTTTACTGTCAAATAAACTACTGTCCCTGCAAACTAAATCAGCTGTCTGATCAAATATCTCACATCTTTTATAGTTAATGTCAAAATATAAATATATAAATAAACAATAATAATATAAATATATCTCTAGTAAATGAGTTGAGGAAGACAGTGATTTGGTTGCTCTTTTCCTTTGGAGGGAGACAAATGACAACAGCTAAATATTTTAACACCAGGACACTGAGCCAGTGAGGCACCACACTGGAGCTGCTGAACTGGATCTTAGTGATAAACACCGTCTCCAGCAGGCTGGCCACCATCAAAGAGAGACCGATGGAGAAGAAAATGACTGCAGGAAACAACAACAGCAAAAATTCAGTATACTTTTCATTTCCAAGATGTGGCTTAGAGGAACAGTGCCACTAATCAGAATATGAGATGCTCAGTCACTGTCTTCCCATGTCAAAGTGCCCTTAGACAAGATACTGAACCCCAAATTGCTGCTAGTGAGTGAGTGTGTTTGTGAAAGATGAGAAAACCTCTGTTTTAGTGGAATTTACCCTACCAATAGTTTTGGTTTCATTTGTACAACTTTTGACACATATGTCTCTGAGATTATTGCTCTCACTCAATTAGAGGTGAACAGAAAGTCGTCACTTAAAATATGTAATAGTAGCATGTCTTTAAAAAACTGTCACTGAATTCAGTGTTATTCTAAATAATATAATTAAATACTCACTTTAAACAGCTTTTACTGGTTCAACTTTCAAGTGAAGAAACAGTGCCTATCCAGACATTTGATAATGAACACTTTCCTTCCTTGTTCACATTGCCACTGTTGTTCAGTTGCCTGAAGCAGTCCCTATGTGTGTGGTCAAACTAAGCAGCTCTTAGCCTCAAAAGCACATGGGCAGTAGTAAATTTCATAAAGATGTGTATGTCCATATCCTTCAACTTTCTCTGGAATAAGATCACAGGTGTCACTTACTGATGAGGGGTGTCCTTCTGCCAGTGGAAGGCAGCAGGTTGTTCATGATGAGCAGGAAAACTGTGTAGCCCAGGATGAGGGTCATCTTGAAGGAGGATCGGTCCACACTGTGGGGAGGCAGCAGGAAGCTGAAGAGTTGTGATGAGGAAGCAGCTGGGGATCAGGAGGTTCACCACATAGAGGAGTGACCTATGTCTTAAAATGATCTGAGGAAAAGACATGAGTACAATGCTTTTGTGCTCCACTTTAAACTAATTGTGGATGACAATGAAACAGCTTTGTTTAATTGTGTCATTCTTAAGCTGCAGTTTGATTGATTTCTGATGACCCACATATTTTTTCATTTCATGTTATTATAAAATGGTTAACTATGTTGATTTCTTCTATACTCACAGAAAAAACAGTACACTGTCATTAGTATATCGTCTATAATGTATGCAATTATGATTTTTAAAGGATCTTTATTAAATTTCAAACATGACATAGCAATTCCAAAAATACACACCTAAATAGCCTAAACATTATTAAATCAACACAAAATGATTAAAACAAACCTATACATTAATAAAGTGCTTACCCAAAAGTAGAAAGTGCCATGTGCCAAGTGGTATGCAATTACCAGGCAGTGTGGAATTAGGTTTGATCAGCTATTACAATTCAAATTAAGTGATCATAGAACAACTAGAATAATGAAAAGTGCTTACAAAGTATTTGATCTGAGAGTAGTTTCCCACATCTTGCACCAGGGTAGAATGTTCCACAAAGATATCTATGAGATCCTACTGCCCATTGGTCTTCATCACATCTCTGGACTCTGCCAGGATCTCTTTAGATGAGACGCCTTGAACCATCCTTATGTCTGTATCTTAAATAACAGTTTACATTTATAACAGTTGGGGGGCACGGTGGTCCAGTGGATAGTACTGTGTGGTTGCTGGTTCAAACCCTGGTTGCCCCGGCCTTTCTGTTGGAGTTTGCATGGTGTTTGCGTGTCACCTAATTTTCCTGGGAGACTCCAATTTTTCATTGCCCTCCCCCGGTTTCCTCCTGGGTCACTGCAGTATGATTAATGTTACAGTTAGGGCTGTCCCCGACTAAGGATTTAAATAGTCGAATCAGAATTGCCTATAGTTGACTGATAGTCGAATCATGTACGTGTGTTTGTGTGTTCGTATGCTTGTGTGCGGCCACTGCGAGCGGAGGAGGGAGTGTAACACTAGCTCCGCTTTAATCTTGACAAGATGCAGACTCAGTGTCACTTACACTGTACATTTCCAGCTAAATTGAGTCTTATTTTTGACCCATTTCTCTCTCTCGCCTGCTATTCACCAGTCTTGTGCAGAGTTTTGCGTAAGCCCTAGTTACAGTAGTTGAGTGGTGGAGGCTAAGCTGCTGACAGACTTGATTGTAGATTTACTTCTGAAACAACCTGGCAGTTCCATTGAAGGGTCCTTCATTTCTCCTTGTTCATCACTTACTTCCTGACTTACTTCAATATTTCTAATTTCGCTTATAGCAGCTAATGGTGCCCATTGCTAAATTAGATTAAGTACAAAACTAGTTAATGCTTAACCAATGTAATTTCAGTTTGTTTCGATTGATGTAAACTGAGCCAATTGGAAATCACTTGAGGGGAGGGTAGAAAAAGATAGTCGGAAGAGAAAGAACCACTGATGTGAGGAGGGACCCCGCCCACGGGAATTGCATCACCGCGCGGACATCTACCTACTGCACCTCGCCATTCTGCTGTATCGTCTACCAGCCTGTGGATTCTTTGGAAGTGTCGGAGCGACGAGCCGCGTGAGTAAGGGCAGACTTTTCTGACCATTGAACTGTACTACCAGGGAGTTAAAAGATCACTCTTTCATTGAACTGTGATGGTACAGATGTGTATACTTGGGACTTTATTATACTAGAGTGGTACCTTTTGTTATTGATACCTGTACAGGTTACATTTATTTTCATTCAGTTCACACACACACACACACACAGTTTAATATTTTTTCTATTCCATCCTAAGAGAAACAAGACAGGGAAGTGTTACTTGAAGAGTACCAGAGTGGTTTGATAAAGCATCTTTTTGGCTATTTGTCAGTATATTAAGGGTTCATGTAAGGTTTAAGCTCTGAACTTGTTTTTGAGAGTACCGGGAAAGAAAAAATAAATGTGTGTTCCCCTTTTTCATACTATATACTGTTGTTGTTCATATTTGACTTACTTATAAGTACTTACCATTATTCTGGGGAACTTCAGTACAGTTCTGAAGGTGAGCTTAGTAGTTCCACAGTGGAGGCACCACGCTATTATTGTTCTTACACACATTGTTTATTTGTTGTCTATGCCTACTTATCCTGCCTGAAGTCACTTACCAAATATTAGTAAACAGGGAATATTTAGCCAGCTCGCCATCAACAGCTAAGAACCCAGGATCCTGTTTAACACACTTTTAATATAGTAGCCCGGTGTGATAGTAAGGTACACCTTAGGTCTTGTTTGATCAGCTCTACTGGTGTCAGTAAAGGGTTACAATAATTTGATGAGTCACAACCGTCACAACCCCCCCCAAAATTTGACACCTGAAAAATCCACCATGTGCTCCTGCTGCTGCTAAAGCTAGCCTCAGGTTGTGCTGCGCTCCCTATGGGTGCGCTGCTAACACTAGCCTCCTCCGGTCTTTGGTTAGCTTGCTTGTCATCTTACACAACTTCTTCAGCCTGATTCACTTCCTGGCTCCTTTTGAATAGATGGCACGTCTCAATAAAGACATGCCTCCCTCTCCTCTTCTTCTCTGTTTCGTTTGCTTTTACAACCACCACTTCTCTCACTCATTTTGAGCACGATAACTATCTTATTCCCACAGTCCGCTTGATTCAGCACTGGGTTATGAGATGACCGGGCTTTTACGTGCTTTCTACACTTACACATTTTTACTTCCCCTCGCTTGGGCACGTGCCCAGAATGCCCATTGGATAATCCAGCCCAGTGTGTATGTATGGACATTTGTGGAATCTTTTTGCCCTGTGCCTTCTTTCATTCCCATGAGAGCCTGAGTTTTAACCCTGACAGAAGCCTCCCTGTGGACTTCACAATTACTCCTTTAAATTAAGAGCCAGGAACTGCTTTAAATGTTTTAGTTGTCGGTTGCTCTGGGCTAAATGCTTTGAATTGCCCTTGGGTGTGCACGTCCTCTGGCCCAGCTGAACTGTTTTGAGTACTTCTGTTCATTTCTACTGAAGTAAATATCAAAACTTATTTATTTCTTCACTTCTCTACCGGGAAATATACAATTTCCACCACAGTTTCCGTTTGGTCAGTAGGCTTCATCTTCAGGGAATATGGTGCGTTCCATTTGAAATGGGAAGTCAGAATTTCTGAGTTCAAAGGTCAAAAGTTCAAAGGTCAAAATTTCAAAGGGAACGCCCCCTTAAGTCGGAATCCCGACTTAAGTCGAGAATCGCAATACCCCGACTTCGTGATCCAAGATGGCTATCAACAGTTAGTGAAAGCTGTAGTTTATACTGTTTATTAGTACTTCTGTGTACTTGTGTCTTATAGAAATGTCACAAGAGTCATGCTGCTAGCATGGCTGACAATACAGTTCACTAGTCTGGTTAAGAAAGCATACACCAATTAGCCCCATTATGACCACAGGTGAAGTGAATAACATTGATTATCTCATTACCATGGCACCTGTTGCACCTTACAGCTACTTACAGGATTTAATGGATCTGCCGCTAATGTCTTGATGCCAGATACCACAGCACATCTTCAGAGGTAGTGGAGTCCGTGTCTCCACAGGCCAGTGCTGTTTTGGTGGCAAAAGGGATCTACACAATATTAGGCAGGTGGTCACAATGTTATGGCTGATCAGCGTATATTGATGAATCACTCTCCACATTACATTGATAAGGAATCAGCATTAATTCAATGTTCAATAGCAGAGTTAGCATTGGTCAAGCAAGTTCACAGAGAACCACGTTAATATATAAATTTACAAGAATACTGTTTATGCAAAAAAAAAATATTTTGATAAATAAGCGATATTTAGTGATTTGCACAAAGCTATGTCCTGGAATACAAAAGTAGATATAAAATATAAATACGATTTTTTACACCACTCTTAGGCATCTTAGATTGCATTACCAGTAAAATAAGGTGAGACTGTGTTTTAATAACATAACTGAGGCAATGAAGGTTTATTGAAGACAGAATGCCACATGTCATGATTGTGAAACATGGGTTTATTCCCTAATTCTCATGTAATATTATTTTAATAAAACATTTCATTCGAACATCCTGTCAACCCCAAACTTATCTTCATCTCAAAAAAAAGAAATTCTGGTCAAAATATAACCTGGCTGTAGGCAGTCGGCTTGATCTCATGAGGTTATTGTTGCCTGTGTTTGTGTGACGCCACAACACAGAAGCGAGTCACAACCACTGCAGACTAATTTGGTGCAGGCCTAGCTCCACTCAAATGAACTTCAATAAAGGAATAGAAATAAAAATGGATAACATGAATCACAGAAAAAGTACATTTTATTATCATATGTTAAAACAATATTAGTTTTCTTTATTGCATTATTCGGCATGGAGCTTTCAGGTTGAATTATAGAGGTAAGAGAATCGAACCCTAGGGGACTCTGCTCAGATTTATGACCAATGGCAACAACATAGTCTCTGCTTTCAAAATATGACCTGAAAATGGGATAATCCTACCACTCAAGACATGTTACTGTAGGACTATGTGGTCGAGGTGGTAGAAGATAATCCTACTTTAGAAGTATTTCTGGACAGAAGCATCAAATGCTGCACTTAGAATCAGCAGTACAAGAACTAATGTTTTAACTGAACCAGTATTTGAATGTGCATCTTCATCAGTACTGTCTGGACGTGATTGGAAGCCAAATTTAACCTTGTCCAACAGGCCATTTACATTCAATAAATTGTTGAGTTGAATAAAAACAGCTTTTTCAATAATTTTCCCAATTAAATTATTATTCAGTAGAGTTCAGGATGCCTCTTTAAAAGGGACGAAATATCTGCAGTTTTCAAGGTTTTTTGAGAAAAAAAAAGATGCTTGACAATTGGATGAGCTCCTGATAACACCTGATAACCCCTCACTTTCAGCTCATCCATTGCTAAGCAACTTAACAACTAGGAAAGAACAGCCTAATTGATGTCTGTGAAGATTCTCAGTCATCCAGGTCATAGTTATCCAAAGAAGGTTAAAGTCAAGGGCAACTGGACTTGATTGAAGATACTAGAATACTAGAAGACGTTTCATCCCTCATCCAAAGGACTTCTTCAGTTCTGACTGACTGGTAGGGAAACTCAGCTATTTAACCTCAGTGGGGTCGTTTGCCAGGATCGTTGATACTGCTGGTTCGTTAGTGTTTGTGGCTGTCGTTATGGTTGGTGAACGACCATTGTTGGCATCCTCACCTGAGGCCAATAGGTTACGTTTGTTGAGTTTCCTGGGAAGTGATGAAAGGACAGCATTGTAAGTGGGGGATAAGTGGTGGCGTAGACCCCCTCATCTGTTCAGCGACGGCTTCTCAGCCCGGGTGTAGATGGCTTCCTTGACACCTCTTTCAAACCATCCATCCTCTCTGTCTAAAATGTGCACCTGGTGGTCCTCAAACGAGTGTCCTCTGTCCTTCAGATGTAAGTAAACAGCAGAGTCTTGACCTGAGGAGTTGGCCCTTCTGTGTTGAACCATGTGTTTGTGTAGTGGTTGTTTAGTCTCCCCAATATACAGGTCTGTGCATTCCTCACTGCATTGGACCGCATACACTAGATTGCTTTTCTTGTGTTTGGGTGTGCAGTCTTTGGGGTGTACTAGCATCTGTCTTTGTGTGTTCTTGGGTTTAAAAAACACAGAGATGTTGTGTTTGTTGAAAATCCTCCTGAGTTTCTCTGAAACTCCAGACGCGTATGGTCAACCAAGTCCAGTTGCCCTTAACTTTAACCTTCTTTGGATTGTACAGGATCTCTGTGGTGGTGTAGTGGTCTTCTTCCATTGTTTTGAAATCGAGGAATTTGGGGTCACTCTGATATTTTAGATTTTGTCCTTGAAGAAAGATGCAAAATAATAACATTTTGACAGAGAAAATATCAGAGACTAACTGTGTTTGGGGATTAGTTATCTTATCAACAGCAGCAAATAACACATAGGAATAGAATTTTTTTTTTGTTAATGATGATGGTGATGACAATAAAGAATATACAGTTATTGTCCCTAAACCATTATATTGTACTTAGTTATTGGTCCATCCTCTTGGATACAAAACTAGCAAAATTGCATAAACATGGTTTTCTAAGCAAAATCAAACAAAAAAATTTGAACAAACACTACAGAAACAACACCTACTAATAAATGGTGGCAGAGGCTTTGTTTTGCCACACTACTACTTCTACTTCTTGCTTTTGAATTTGTCATTTAGACATCCTAAGAATTGATCCTAGCAATCATTCACAGCTGACCGATGTCTAGTTAGGACTGGTTGATCCAGACGCACCACATGAAGATGATGACCAGGGCATAACAGGAGATGAGCAGCAGATAGATGCGAAAGAGCAGGTAGTCGAGGACATATCCTACGTGGCACCACTTGTCCTGCAGCTCGTTCTCCTTCTGCAGCTTGGTGAGGTGGTCACGAAGGTCTCCTAGATATTGACAGATCTGTTGCAGCTCAGGCAGAGCAGCTGTACCTGGCAGGAGATCAGCAATAGAAGGGATGACAGTCTACACCGAGTGAGCTGTAACTGTTATAGCTGCTTGACTCAAACTTTCATTCCATGTATTCAGACGTTATATATACAGTATACTTATATAAACTCAGTGTGTGTGTGTGTGTGTATAAAATTCAAAAAAGCTCAGGTCCTCTGCCAGAGGCACAGTTTCAGCATTCTGTGCAGTCTCTTAGCTGTTCCTAGTACTGCACTCTTGGCTGGAGTCACTCTCCCAGTTTGGGTGTCACAGCCCCCAGGGCTCTGATTACCACTGGCACCGCTGTTGCTTTTACTCTCCACATCCTTTTCGAAAAGTGTTCAACTGATGATTCACTGTTATAGGCATGTCATTATTATTATTTCTGTGTTTATATATAACCTCCGTATTTTCAAGGTCAGGCCACTGGGCAGCTCCAGTTGGCAAAGTAATGTTTGTCATTTAAATCTGTTTAATTACCTCCGGTGCTGGCTGGGTGCTGGTCAGGTGTCTGGCTTGCTGGTTGGATGATCCACGGCCCTGAAACACCATTTGAGCTGTCAGTTTTATCCTTCTGTGGTATAGACAGGGGCTGGACATCCTCCGACCATCGGTAGCAGATGAGGTTGGCGATGTATTTGAGCACAACCACCCTTATCCAGTGTGGGACCTCTTGATATTTCATGGAGCTGTGGTGGAGGACATTGGTAATGACGACTGTCTCCAGTAGACTGATGACCATGAGGGCCAGACACACAGAGAAATAGATACCTAGATTGAAGGATAGATTGAGAGATCAAAGGGTACACATTAAACATGTCAAATGGAAAACTTATTTCCTCAGTACCAGAAGACAGCCATAATGTATCTGCAGGGAGCAGATAGAGTTGTTGGTCAGTTCAATTTACTCAGTGACTCAGTCTCAGTCTTTTACAAATTTCTCAGATTTCCAGCTTTCAAAACTCACGTTCAAGAACATAATACAGTATAACAAAATATTGTATTGCCTCACCAGCAAAAGTGTGAAGTCTCTGTTTTAATTAATTTGCTTACCTATCTGTATTGTCAAAATGGAATTTTTAGTATTTGTGTTCATTGAAAGTCACCATCGATCAAGGGCATGGGTCACTTTAACAACTCAGTTATTTAACAGATTCTTATTTTTAATCATTTGTGTTGCACCTGTGTGGGATGCATGGGAAAATCTAGTTTCCTTCTCTATGATGGAGCATGTGCACAAGACGTGATGTGTTGATGTATTACAAAAAATTAACTACTGTATGCTGTTTTGTAGTGTATTATTGTAGCATGGCAGACCTAGTCCTGCAAAATGTCTCTGGCCCTTTCAGCAGTCCATAAAAAGTAATTACATTTCTGTGGTCCCAAATAAGAAAACAATAATAGTTATGCAGCACAATAATTTAAGTATGTATGTTTTGGTGCTACCTTTACTCATTGTGGTGACTCCAAGTAGCACTGTGTCAAAAGATTACTTCTTTTTTAATTGACAGGTACAGCATCTACTGCAGAAATCTAAAGTGAAAGACCCCATGTGTGGTTTCAATTCATAATTTCTAAAAATTGTTTACCATATTGATAAAACTAAATAGGTTCAAAATATATTACACTGTATGTTCTTTATAATTAATTTGTAGTTCCCACCATTGTGTTGAGAACAGAATACCAGAATTACTTGGGTCATGACAATTTTGGGATGTAAAAATTGATATGCTGACCATTTTCATTCTGACTATTTTGATTACTTTCAGTTATTTGTATCTATGTTAATTGGTAGTTGCATTGTCAGATAGTTAGACAGTTATATAGTTTGGCAAAATCACAAAAGCAAAGGGGAAAAACTTAAAACTGCGTTAATAGATTTTTTGGCCACTTGGGGCAACAGAAAACACAACACTGCAAATTATCACCTGATAGACTTATAATATCTAACATGTTGGCAAACAGACTTTTTACACATTTACATACATGTGCGATGTCTTTCAAATTCCACACAGTCATTTGATAATATTGGTTAAATGAAAACATTGATAAGTGCAGCTTTAAGAAAACGGCTTGTGGTGGGGGTCACCACTTCTGACCTATGATGGGCGTGCCGTTTGCTGTGCTGGGCAGCAGGTTGTTCATGATGAGCAGGAAGACGGTGTAGCCCAGGATGAGGGTCATCTTAAAGGTGGCGCGGTCGACACTATGGGGGGGCAGGTAGAAGGACAGGATGTCGATGAGCATGAGGAAGGAGCTGGGGATCAGCAGGTTGACCACGTAGAGAATTGGCCGGCGTTTTATGACCACCTAGTGAACAAGAGTCAGTTTGAAGAATCTCAACACATTTACTGTACAGGACATCAATAATAATAACCTTCATCTAACAAAGTTCATGGTAGACTACTTATCATAACATATAACAAACTATCTTTACTATCTAAGGAGGGAAATGTAAATGTAAATACTCCGTATTTGTATAGCTCCTGTCTAGTGTTTTTGCGACCCAGCATTTACACTATATTGCATTGAGCATTCACAGGCATTCATACTCTGTGGAATTTTCAATTCTTTCAATTAACGGGCAACCGCTGTACCTCCGCCAATATATAGGCTAAGATAACATGTAACAAATGTAATACATGCACTAAGTTAAAAAGAGTACTAATTAACAGTAATAATTCTTGAGGAAACATTTGTACTTTGTATTGTTAGTTCTGTGTTAAATATAATATATATAAAATGATATTTTGGTCCTTTGTAGCAGAAACAAGTTGTGACACAACATATCATCACCTTTTAAGTTACGGCAAACTTGTTAGCAAACAGTTTGCACATGTAGTAATTATGGACAACATTATCATTTATTTGAATGTAAGACCAATATTAATCTTCTTTAGCTGCTAAAGTCTCCAATATGATATTTTATATATATATATATATATTTATATATAAATAATGTGTGTGTGTGTGTGTGAGAGTAGTTGCTGATTTAGATGATAATGCTCCAGTGTCTCCTCTAGGATTTTTTTCAGCAGCAGGGGCAGGCCAATCTGTCTTATAGTCAGATGTTTTGCATACAGCTGTTAAATTTGCAGATGTAAGAATAGTAAACTCAGGGGTTTTCCTCACCCAGAAGGTGATGATGTCCAACTCATCAACCCCAAACTGGAGGATGGAGGTCTCCCCCAGTATGTCCACCAGCTCCCACTCTCCACTGGCTTCCAGGTAACGCTTTGAGTTTTCAGACATCTCCTTAAAGGTCAGGGCCGGACTCACCCTCAAGTCCTTTACTGTGAGAGAAAGAGCTATTAGTGTGCAGAATTATTAGGCAACTAAATTACAAAAATAATTCCTATCAAATGACTTAATTCTCAATTCTTAGAGTAAGTGTAACAACATAAAATGATAATTAAATAACAATTTTGGCCTTTCTTCCTCTTCCTGTGCCACTGCTTGAAAAAAATGATCTACCAGAAACTGGCAGTAGGTTTGGGAGTCAAGTTTCAGTCCATCTTTAACCTAAAAAGGTCCAACTATCTCATCCTTAATGATAGCTGCCCATACCAGTAGACCTCCTCGACCCCGAAGTCAAAGTGGTGCCCTGTGTCCATCAGTGATCCAACAATTGGTAAGAAAGAGGCGTGGTCCTGTTTCTGAACTTTAGTTACATTACTGCATTTAACTCTCGTTTTTGGCCCATTTTACCAGAGGTAATGAAGGTACAAGGTAAATGAATAACAAAATAATAAAGCTGCCTAATCATTATGCACACCTTGATACAAGGTGTGAGTCACTTTCACCACACCCTCCCCCATTACACAAATACTGTACATATCACCTGAAAATGATTAATTCCAATGAGCATTCAAGTTTACAGTTGGTACGGAAAGTATTCAGACCCCTTTAAATTTTTCACTCTTTGTTTCATTGCAGCCATTTTCCAAAAATCAAAAAAGTTCATTTTATTTCTCAGTAATGTACACTCAGCACCCCATCTTGACAGAAAAAAACAGAAATGTAGAAATTTTTGCAAATGTATTAAAAAAAAACCCTGAAATATCACATGGTCATAAGTATTCAGACCCTTTGCCGTGACACTCATATTTAACTCAGGTGGTTCTACACCTTCATTTGAGTCCAGCTGTGTTTGATTATACTGATTGGACTTGATTAGGAAAGCCACACACCTGTCTATATAAGACCTTACAGCTCACAGTGCATGTCAGAGCAAATGAGAATCATGAGGTCAAAGGAACTGCCTGAAGAGCTCAGAGACAGAATTGTGGCAAGGCACAGATCTGGCCAAGGTTAAATTTCTGCTGCACTTAAGGTTCCTAAGAGCACAGTGGCCTCCATAATCCTCAAATGGAAGACGTTTGGGACGACAAGAACCCTTCCTAGAGCTGGCCGTCCGGCCAAACTGAGCTATCGGGGGAGAAGAGCCTTGGTGAGAGAGGTAAAGAAAAACCCAAAGGTCACTGTGGCTGAGCTCCAGAGATGCAGTCGGGAGATGGGAGAAAGTTGTAGTAAGTCAACCATCACTGCAGCAGACACAAAGTTTGCTAAAAAACACCTGAAGGACTCCAAGATGGTGATAAATAAGATCCTCTGGTCTGATGAGACCAAGATAGAACTTTTTGGCCTTAATTCTAAGCGGTATGTGTGGAGAAAACCAGGCACTGCTCATCACCTGTCCAATGCAGTCTCAACAGTGAAGCATGGTGGTGGCAGCATCATGCTGTGGGGGTGTTTTTCAGCTGCAGGGACAGGACGACTGGTTGCAATCGAGGGAAAGATGAATGCGGCCAAGTACAGGGATATCCTGGACGAAAACCTTTTCCAGAGTGCTCTGGACCTCAGACTGGGCCGAAGGTTTACCTTCCAACAAGACAATGACCCTAAGCACAAAATAACAAAGGAGTGGCTTCACAACAACTCCGTGGCTGTTCTTGAATGGCCCAGCCAGAGCCCTGACTTAAACCCAATTGAGAATCTCTGGAGAGACCTGAAAATGGCTGTCCACCAACGTTTACCATCCAACCTGACAGAACTGGAGAGGATCTGCAAGGAGGAATGGCAGAGGATACCCAAATCCAGATGTGAAAAACTTGTTGCATCTTTCCCAAAACGACTCATGGCTGTATTAGATCAAAAGGGTGCTTCTACTAAATACTGAGCAAAGGGTCTGAATACTTATGACCATGTGATATTTCAGTTTGCAAAAATTTCTACATTTCTGTTTTTTTCAGTCAAGATGGGGTGCTGAGTGTACATTACTGAGAAATAAAATGAACTTTTTTGATTTTTGGAAAATGGCTGCAATGAAACAAAGAGTGAAAAATTTAAAGGGGTCTGAATACTTTCCGTACCCACTGTATGTGGTTTGGAGAAATTGTGCATAGAAATAATAATCGGAATCGGAATACTTACTTGCCTAATAATTGTGCACTCAGTGTTAAGCGTAGCGAATGACTTGGTGAGTTTATGACTGTGTAAATGTCTTACTGGTGTGCATGTAGGAGCCAAATGTAAATGTGCAATTCTGCACGTCAAAAGGAAAGCTGAAGATCTCCAGGTTGCAGGCTGAGACAAGCCTAAGCATCCGGTCCCAGCGGATGCGACCTGTGTAGTTCAAGTAGACGTAAGGACACGCTTGGGAAACATCATCATCCACACTGGGAGGGTTGAATGTGGAGAAGTCAGGATGAAGTTAAAAAAATAAACAGAAACACAGTGACAGAAGAGATGAATGAGATGGTTAATTCAATGAGACTCCATGGGGAAACAAACAGAAGTAAAATCACTTTCACAATTCATACAATTTTTCTGCTCCCTCAACTTCGCATGGTGAATTTTAAAACATGTTTAACTAGAGCCGTCTTTCTCAACTGGGGCGCATGAGCCACTTAAAGGGTCATGGATTTTGAGCGGTCCTAAGTTGCATAAATATGATTCATGTGGTGACAAAAAAAAAACAAAAGTGCTCTGATGCAAGCAATGCTATTTTGCTAACCTGGGGTGCAGCTTTTGCATTTTTTGGCTTCTGAATGGACCACTGAATTAGGGGGTGAGTACAAAACTCTCAACAATCCATCAAAAAGGAACAAAAGCTTTTACAGTTGGAGAACTTACAACTCATACACAATGATGTCCGGAGACCAGAGCCGACTCACAGGGAGAGAAATCCTGGTGACGCCGTCACACTCATCAGGGTCCCAAACTAGGAACTCATGGTGCCAGTACTGCAGTTAATTAGTCATCAATGTTAAACTTGCAATAGAAAACCACAATGTCATTTTATAATCTCTAAAGCGGTTCCTGCTGTGGTTACAGACACATGATACATATGTATCGGATTCCATAAAATTTATTGAAAGTCTATTATTTCTTTCCATGCTACTTACCAGTCTCAGCCATAAGAAAGTAGTGAGTATCTGTGTTTTTTCATTCTGAAATACAGTAAACAACAAGTAAACCTCACGTGAAGCTGATTGGTACCTCTTAGACCAGGTTAGAGTTAAGTCAAAAATGCAATGATTAATAACAATACATAATGTCACATGAATTCAAGTGATGCATGCACATATTTTGACAATTTTATTAGAGCCAACATATGTTGATCTACATTTAAATTGCCTGACATTCCCTATGTCAGCTATAGTGGAGGTTCTGAATCTGGATTCAGGTGCTCTTTGTATTTTCTTAGATTGCTAATCGATGAACTCACCACCCCAGGACAGCATACAGAGTGAAGGAGATGTTGGTTATGGTGGGATTGCTGAGGTTCACTGCTGGCCTGAAGGATTGTAGGTCAAACACAGCCTGCATGGATTCATAGGTTGGACCACTGTGGCCTTGTTTGCAGGACAGTTTACTAAAACATAGAGACACTGACGATAGAGAAAGTTTATAAAACACTTTATTTTTGCATTTATTACATCTTAATTGCACTTTTAAACAATTAAACTTTCCCATTATCAATGAAAATGAAGAGCTGTTTTCTAAATATAAAGCTATACTAAACAATAAACAAAATGCTGTACTTTTCATTTACCGGTTTGCTTACAAACAAGGTTACTACACAGATTATTATAAATCTGGAAATCATAATTATTTGGACATGGAACAAAAAAGAGCTTTCAATAGTCATTGTTTCATTAAACTGGAAGCCAAAAATCTTGAGTAATTATTATTATTATATATTATTGAGTAATATTATCTTGATATGATTTCACATGGCACAGCTAATACTGTAAGATAGTAGATGACATCCTTTAATTACTTCAACATGTTCTTCTTATCATAATTTACAACTCAAATTACCTAAAATATTCCTTTATTTTGAATTCAACACAAAACATAATTGATCACAAATTTGTAATACAGTGGATTGATACTTGATAGAAGAATGTTTTCAGGGTTTGTTCTTCATTTATACATGCTTACATACAATAATAGTATATAAAGATTTGCTAGAGTGCTAGATCATTGGAGTGTTACAATACAGTCTGACTGTACAATAACTAATACTAAAATAATAACAGTGCTGCTATTCACATGAGTAGCAAGAGGGATGTTCAGTTGCAGAGCTAAACATGCATTAGTCTGGAAAACAAAATGCATACATAACAAAAAGCAATAAAGTAGTGAATAAAAATAGGTTATCATTACCTGAATTTAAGAGTAAACTTGAGATGATGCAGATGCTCTGCTGAGACAGACTCATGGTGGATGTTTCTGATGAACCAAATATCCTCCACAACCACCAATCTAATTGTGTGTAAAGCAAAGATAGTTCCTACTGCAGTGTAAATGCACACACACACATTTGTCTTTGTCACTTAGCAGGATGTAGAAATTAATTCTCTGGAGACTTCCCCTAACTCTAACCACAACCACTACATGCCCAACTCCAGCCCAACCCATAGCATAACTACATGCAGACTATAACTCTTCAAATGAAGACAACACAGGACCAATTAAAATAGGTATATATATTTTTGCCCCATTAACTATTAAATGTATGTTTTTTTTTCTTTCAGTACTAACCTCAAGTTCAAACTTTTATATCACAAACACGTTTACAGGCAGAATATGTCCTGTGTTTGTGTGTGTGTATGTGTATATATGTGTGTATATATGTATGTATGTATATATATATACATATATAGATATAGATATATAGATATAGATATAAGTGAAAAAAGATAAAAAATAAGATAAGATAATAAGATAAATAAAAAATAGATAAAAATGAACAGAAATGAAAAACACAGAACTGTGTTATTGCCAGATCATAAGCACATACAGGACATGTTGTTTTACACCTCTGGTAACAACTCGTTACTATTTTTTTTTTCAGCACCTACACGTCCAAATGGGAGTTACAATCTGAATGAAGGTGTTATTGGAGCAAAACAACTAAGCACCTGTGACAGTGGAATTTGTAGTTGTAGAAAATAGTCACATATGTGTATCAGTAATTTTGAAGTCACAGAGAAGAAATGCTTTTAGGAGCTGCAAACCCACAAAAACAACATTTACTTCTTGCTGATGTACAAATCCTATGCTACAAATTACAAATTAATAAACTCATACACTCACATTTTTGCTATACTTGTGGCAGTGAAGGTGGTGCAAAACACATTCACACACCGGTATCAAGAAGTTTGAAGTCACTGACAAAACTTGCACATCCACAAATGAATATGTGAATTCATGCAATGAGAGTTGCTCACCTGTAGGATATTCTCTCATAAATGATTAGTTTTCTTCTTTGAGCACAAACACAAGGCAAAAACTACAACTGCTTGAATTTACTGCTACTAAGTCTCAAATATTGTTTTTTTTCTCATAATTGACAAGATCTACGCACTCTCAATATACCAATCAGATGAGGCCACTGCTTAACTGTGATTAGTCAGGATGATGCCAAGGGAAGCCAGCCGCTGTCTGGCTTCATGCCAAACAAATCACAGCATGCGATCAACGTCATTCAGATGAAATAACGGGAGCTGTTAGCAGCTTTAGCTGGTGCAGTTATGGAGGGTGGAGATTTGGAGTTTTTAGTTATAATTAGAGATGCAAATTATCAATTAATTCATTAATCATTAGTTGATTGACCTTATCGACTGATTAATGATTAACTGATAAGCGGCTATTTTCAATCAATAGTGTCTTTAACATAAATAACAAAATATTGCTTATATACTGAGTAAAAATGCATGTTATATTGCTCTATTGATGTTTTATTGTAGTTTAAGTGTTTGACCAACCTGCCAGCAGCTGCAATTACTCGGTTGACACCAGCAGCAGCGAATCCGTTGTTGACGGCCAGATTTAAAGTATGTGCAAAGCAAGAAACTGATTTCCAACTGACTCGTGCGGGGTTGTTTGCTGAGACGATGTTCCGAGCGTTGTCATGCACACAGGCTATTACATGCCCGGGGAGTCCCCATGACTCCACAGCCTGGTTGAGTTTGTCAGCTAAATTATCAGCTATATGTCTCTCTGAGAGGCTCTCCGTGAGAAGGACTGCTGACTTTACCTGCCAGTCGTTTTCAGTGTAGGACAAGTGATTGTAATGTAGCTTTCTGAAGTCAGTGACGTCCAACAATCTGTCGTCAGAGCCACATTAGCCGCGGCTAACTGTGTTTTTAGCTCAGCCTTCTCGTTTTTGTAGCGTGTTTCCAAGTGGGTAGTTCGAGAAGGGATATTATATCCTGGCTCCATGAAGTGTATTAACTCCCGAAATCCCTCACCATCAGTGGTGCTAACTGGCATCATATCTTTTTCGATCATGCCGCAAATCCTCTGAGTAATGCCCTCCGCTTTCCTGTGGTCACATACTCGCCTTCCCACCAAAGCAGCGATTGTAGGTTGTGAACGCGACAGACTTCCTCCCTGCAACACGGCTGTATGCAAGTTATGAAGGTGGTATCTTAGCAAACTCGTAGAGCTGTTGTACTTAATCGTAGAACCGCAAAGTTTGCATTGAGAGTCTTTGTCATCATCAATTAATTTGAAATGCTTCCACACTCCACTCCGTTTTGACCGCCTCATGTTTGGTTTCTTTTTTGCCGCCCCCAATTTGGTGTCGGGTCTCTCGCCGCCTGCGAGAATCTTGTGTCACGTTCGCATTGTTCAATTAGCCAACAATTAATTTAATTTAATCGAGCAAATTCTTGTAATGACAAGTAATCGATAATCGATTAACCGTTTACATTCCTAGTTATAATTAATAGTTTTACTAAACTACTACTACAGCAGCAATTTAAGATTAAATCTGACGGAAGACCAACGCCAAAACTGGAGCTGGGCGTGGAGAGAAAAAGGGGGTTTTGGACGTTCAATGAGGAAAACTATATCCGTACAGTGTGGCTAGCTGGTAGCGCCAAACTTCAACTGATCCTATTATTGCGGAGGACGAAAAGCCAGTGGGAAATTTTATAACTTGGTTATTGATCACTTCGCCACCATGACAGACAGGAGAATGCCCTTCCTTTTCAAATAGGGTGAGTGAAATGACACCTCCTTCTCTCTCTGAACTTAACTGAACTGCAGCTATTTGTGCGATTCTTAATGTGGTCATATTGTTTGTTTTGTTTGCTTGCCTGAATTTAGCTGTGAATGAATAGTCAGTTGAAGTAACCTTATTGTTTTTACTATGGTTGTGTACGCATAGATAATGAGCACCACAGACAGCACCTGCCACAGGGCACTGGGCCAGGTTAGGCTACCTGAATAATAGTTTTTACTCTGTTGGTCGGGTATTCGGTTGTTAGTCTTCAGTGATATTGTGAACATTTGGCCAAGCATTAAGAAGTATCTAGGCCTATTTGATACATGCACCACTGCTACTATGCAAATGTCTTCAATCGTCTTCTGATTGAGCTTGTGAATGCTTCTTTTATTCTTAACCTGCACCATAAGCCACGGGCTATGTATGCTATTTGGGGTGAGAGAGAGTGAGCGAGAGAGAGCGCAAGTCTCGATAAATGCAACTTTCAGCGTGTGTATTGATAACAGATAGTGCGCATCTTTAAAGTTTGATTAAATTTTTTTAAATTATACCCTGCACTGTAATAGCACAATGCATTAGATAATTGCCCTCCAAAAAGGACATCCCTCTGACTTGGCTTTACCCCACCCCATGCCACTGATCATTTTACCAATCCAGTTGATATGAAACCACGCCCACTTCCGTATGACGAAAGCCTCAATGGTATACAATGGCTAGTAGCTTGGAAAATAACGACATGGGGCACTGAAATTTGATGTTTAGTTTACTGTTCAGACTGTTGACTAATGGGAAAACTTAGTGGTCATAATATACTAATTTTCAGGTTAATAATTTCATTTAGGAGTTGTACCAGAACAGGTTTGCATGGTTCCATTTTTTTCGACATGCTGCACATTGCTGCAGCACCTCTTTTCACCCTGTGTGTTTCACTGAGCTACCAAGGGAAAATCTCACTTCTATAAGATTTTTGGTGGGAGTTGCACATGCGCAGTACCTAGGTAACTACTAGGCAATCAGAAGCAGAGTAGCGCAGGTCCTGGCAAACAAGGAAGTGTGATCCAAAACAAAGCCGCTCCAGGTAGTAAACACAGTTTTGGTTCAGCCATTTATGATCCCGAAACACAGGCAGAACATCCCGAACCAGCTGGACTGACTGGACAGACTGGAGCAAGATGTTGCCCCTCATCCTGTTTTAATGAAGTAAGGGTCATTTCCCCAGACTTCAGTCTGAAAAGAGGCTAAAATAATCAGTGACACATCCCTACAATGGGACAATTCAAACCCCATAAACTGTTACACTAACAGGTGTTAAAATCTGTAGGTTGGACTTTCCAATCAAGAGTTTGAAACAACAGGCACTTGAAACTTTTGTCTTTTGTAGCCTCACTTTACTGATAAAACAGGTGTATTTTTCATATAAGGCATACATCACATCCACTGATAAAATGAGAAATATCTCTCAACAAATATCAAATTTTCCCTTTTACTAGCTTGCACACTGCGGCCTTCAGTTAACTAAACCATCACAGTGCCATGATGGCAAGAAAGTGTGTAAAGATAACTATAAAGTTGTCTTTGCACATTTTAGGTGGCAAATACATCAATGAGGTAAAAACTATTTTTTGTTATTGAAGTTGTAACCATGCTAGCAGAGAAGGGCAGGTCTTAAGAAACAAGGTAGTGTGATCCAAATCAAAGCTGCTTCAGACTGCAACCGTAACCTAGCAGATGGTATAATGGTGCGTTCCATTTACCTCGGAAGTCGGAGGTTGATGGCGTTCCGGTTAACAAGTCAGAAAACCTCACTCAGCCAGCCGTTGTTTACAACTAGCCAGGTTAGCTATTGATATGCTGGTTGATTAAAAAAAACGCATTGTGCGGTATTTACTCAACACTGTAGCAACATGACCACATACAGCTATTGGACAGCACTTTCTGTACGAACATTTCTATGAGATACAAGTACACAGAAGTGCTAATAAATAGTATAAACTAGAGCTTTCACTAACTGTTGATACCCCGACAGTCACGAAGTCCGGGTAGTGCGATTCTCCCGACTTCCGGGGCCTTTCCGAAACTAGACCCTCGCCACTTCCACTCCGACACGGAGTGAACTCTGGTCAATGGCATCCTCCAGGCCAAATCAATCTCCCTAACCCACATAGGGTTTAAATACAGCGACAACTTTCGGACGAACTACCCCTCTCCCCAGCATAAATAGGATCTGATGTTACCGCTACACTCACTGCTATAATACGTGTATCAAATAAACAACAGTGGTATTAAGATTTAGGATTGATGTTGAGGAAAAGTGTGTTTTTTGCAATAACAAAACTGAAAGCATTGTCATTCATTTTGTGTTTGTGTCGAATATTTCTTTAAAAACATGACTTTATATATTTACGAAAAATAAATATTATATTCTTTTATGAAAAGATTGATATTCATTGTAAAGAAAAGCCTATTTATTTGAACCTCTTTAACTTAGCCTATATGAAAAATGTTACATTCACAAATACAACATTTCAATATAAATCATATGGGCTACGTTGTTAACCTGTGAATGGTGACATGACAAAGTTATTGTAGTTTCGAAAAAAAAAATTGTTAACCGGCAAAGTCACACGGAACGCAAATTGAAAGAAAGGTCCCCCATCGTGTTACGGAATCCCCGAAGTCGGGATTCCGACTTAAGGGGGCGTTCCCTTTGAACTCGGAAATTCCAACTTCCCATGTCAAATGGAACGCACCATAAGTCCACAACCACACATCATTGTTCCACATCTTACCATAAATCACTACAAAAACAACCATATTTAAACTCAATTTTACATAAAAATTGGCCAAACAATTTGAACGTTTGCTCAGTAGCTTTCACATCAGGTGTAACGTTAGCATTATAGTTATAACTTTAGCTGTGTTAGCCAACGTTTACAACAACTCAGCACTTGAACAGTCTGTGAAGTTACATTGCCGTGTTTATTTTAAATATAATTCACAACCAATAAAGCATATTTACAGGTTGTGATTGTGAATTTCCAGGACCAAACAGAGTCGGAGTTGCACCGTCTTTTAGGTTAAACGTTGAACTGTTGCCGGTGTTCTGATGATCTATGCTGCCTTGCTGAAAAATGCTACCATAGCGCAAATCAATAGACTCAACTCTACTCGGCCCTTCTCCGTTTTCCATTGCAGATAGTATCCAGAGATAGTACGTAGCTTGTCGTCATAGCGACGCCACACACAACTGCCGTGACGTAATGTTCAATGCGATACACACACCAGCGATCCACACAGATTTCTCTTTTTGAAGTTAAGACGTTTCAACATTCCTCAGAATGTAAAAGACAGATAAGCAGTATGAAAACCTTCCAGTTGTATTTTCCTCTGCCGTTGTTGCTGCAGCGGTCTGTGTGACGGCGGGAGCAGAGGGCTCTGTGAGCGGGCGGCTGGCCGGCCTCACACGCTCCTCCCACGGGTTGGCACAGGCATCCCCCACAGCCACTTGCGGAGCTCCTCAACTCTGAAAATATTCAAGCACATTTTTGTAGATAAGCCCTGTTGTTCTCCATGATTAGTTTAGAGCAAAAGACTGTTTATTCCTGTAGATTGAAGGGGGGTTTCACGTCTGGGAATTGGCGCTCTTTTGTTCGACCAAAAGTAACATAGAGTAAGGTACACCCTTCCTAATTGGGTGACGAAGAAGTGACCAAACGACCAATGGCTATGGTCCTGGGCCATTTGGAGGAAAAGACCCGCCTACATACCTGGAGGATATTAACAATTCATTTTGCGAGAATCAGGACTGTAAGCTGTAAATCTGAAAAGAGGAACAACTTTCCAGTCCACTGCAGTGTTTTTGTTTTGTTGTTTGTTCTGTAATGCCATCTTTTATTCACCTATTTTTTATTAAATTTTCTAGTTAATTTTCATTGGATCCAGCCTCTCCTTTCTCAAAATCTGAAAAAAAAACGCAACACTGGCCTCTGTCTGGCACACACAATGATGATGCAGTGAATAGTGAATATTCTCTCTGACCAATCAGCAGTCTGTCGTGTTTTCACATTACATTTTAGTGTCCCTCAGCTTGCTTGGAACCTCGACGGAGGTGAGGTGATACGAAAAAAAGTACCCGGAAGCAGGTACAGGTACAACATTTCTACAATGGAAAACCAAACAAAGGTGAGTCGAGCCAAGTCGAGCTGGTAATGTGCAGTGGAAAAGGGGCTTAACTAAAATCAAAGGGCCTCCGCTCAGCCTAGCTTGGTTTGAGGGCGTGCCTGACCCTGCTAGCCGCTTGGCAAGCTTTATGATGCATTTTCAGTGAAGGAAGGGAAACGAGTAGCATGTAGCTGCAGTACCGTTATTGATTATATGCATGTTGACCGGTTAACCCTACAGCTGCGCACATCGGCCCATCTAGCAGACAGGGTTAACCTCCTTCGTGTTGCTGTGCATTACCACCACCACTCCACTAGATGGCGCTGTCACAAAGAACTAGGGTCCTAGAACTGCGGTCCCAGGATCGCAGGGGTCCTGAAACTGCAGCCTCCGGTACTGCAGCTTCATACTATTGAGGGAAACGGCTGGACTACAAACGAGCTGTTTTCAAGCAGTGAATTCTATTACTTGAAGGGGTACTTTACGATTCTTATCTAATACACTTTTTGTTAAATTCGGCAAATATTTCCTCATGTCAATTATGAAAATAAACCCTGACTCAGCCCCAAAACAGCTGAATATTTCTGAATACAATTCTTGACATATAACAAATGTGAGACATTATTCCACTTTTCATTTATCATTCTTGAAACAACTTCAACTTTACTCAGTTACACCTCATCACTGCCAGCACTCATGATTATTAATTATTATTACACTAGGGCCTATATCTTTCCTGCTAATTATCATTACACCTTTGGTTAATAAGCTACTGTATAATACTGTAGATATCCACATTTATTATCATTATTAGGCTGTATTCTTAGATTTGTATACTTTGTTATATTCTCTACTCACTAACTTCAACTACCTGTTATTTCTATTCCTTTTATGTCCTGTGAGTATCTGCAACAAAGACTTCACCCTCGGAAATCAAAGTATTCCGATTAGGTAGGTGTCACCGTGGAGACGGGTGTCGAAGTGTTTCTAAGCCTCGACACAATTCCGGCACAATTGCTTCAAACGTTTCAATGTTTCACAAAGCCTCGCTTCGCCCATCACTATTAATTTCCTGTTATTTCTCCTGTCGCCATCACGCATGTTCGTCTCCTCTCTCTTTCTCGCATACAATAGCGCAGGGTTGCGCAAGATCATGCAGATATGTCGTAACCTGTCAATCATGTTCAGCTGGGAGGGGTAATGATCGTTCCTGATTGGCTAAACTTACTAAAGAGACATTACGTTTTTTCAAAACATTTTTAAGTTTGTTTAACCCTGTGTTGTCCCTGGGTTGCAAAGTGCATATCTACAGTTTTTTTTTTTATTTTATTTTTTTAAATAAACTTTGTTTATTATAAATGACAAAAATAGTCAGATGCATACAAAAACACAGAACAAAGTCAGAGAGCCAATACATTTTCCATATCACAAATATATATGCATAAAAAAAAACGCACAATCAAAACATACATAAAATTTTCACTTATCCTTATCAGATAGCTAACACTATGGGGGGAAAAAACAACCAAATAAACAAAATAAATAATATATATATATGTATTTCAGAAAAAGAAAATTAAAGAATACATGCAAGAAATAACCAGGCACGGGATACAAAAATTCATCATACATTAACAATACATAAAGGATATATTAAGCGCCATAATATCAGGGAAGCTTACCAAATATACTTTTATAACACTCTGTGAATCTGTTACTTTTGTTATTGTCTATCAGGGAAAGGGATTTGAAAAGTGATAGTCCCTACAGTAGGAAACCATAATAGTCATCATCATCATCCAGACAATAAAAGTGTGTTTTTCATTTAAGACCCAAAAGGACACGTGAGTGTTCAAGGTGTCCAACATTAATGTGATTTTGGGTAGTGCAGATAAGATAAATAAGATTTAAGTAAGTAAGATTTTTGTTTTACAGTACACTGCAAATGTACACGTTGTGATCCATGTTTTCCTTTTCTAAAACAAAATACTTAAGTCTGAACAGCTGACAGGAATGCTGTTTTGGTAAATGATTTCAAATGACCCTCCTGCTTGCCTCCTGGCAAGTTCTGCATATTCAGAACTACATGTACTATGAATCTTCAAGATTAAAAAAACTATTGGGTGTAAAATAGTTTTTTATCATGGAGTTTGCTTATTATGTTATTGCATGTGGGAAGGTATGAAGACATATATTGGGCCAGGCCACTTAATTCATCATGCATCTGAACAGCATTCAGTTATATTTTAGACGACCGTGTGCTTCCAGCTTTTTGGCACAGAGCCCTGGACTCAACCCATTCCAAAACGTTTAGGATCATTCGAAAGGCTGATTGTGAGCCAGGTCTTATCGCCCAACATCAGTGCCGTAACTTGCTAATCCCTGCAGCAAAGTCTTGTGATTAAATGTCCACATACTTATGGCCATGCTGTAGGCCTATAGCATTTTTATTCTACCAAATTATTTATTCACTAACTAGACAAATGTTTATTGCTTTGATTTTTAAAAACAGTCTTAAGTTTCTTCATAATTTTAGAGATTGGGTTAAAAATTGGGTTATAAATTCAGTAAAGGCATGGCATTTGTTGGGATTTTTGTTAAAATCATAATCATAGCCTACTATCTATAGATCAAATGACAGCTGCTATTTATCTTACAGGATTTATTTCATTGTTATATTCTCTTTTGGGTGAGCCACTGATAGCAGATAACTACATTTTCTAATTATGTTGGCTCTTGACTGTCAACGATAGGATTCAAAACTGACATTAAAATTACAAAATCAATAAAAATAACAATTGGAACATGATTATTATGTTAGAAATGAATGTCAGTCGAAAACTGAAAAGAATTTCTTCAAGTCATTTTATTTGTATAAAATAGTTTCCTCAATCATAACACAAAGGGGTTTAAACTATAGGCAATATAGTAATAATTTAATGTCCAATAGTGATAATATTTCCATTATTATTAACAACTAGGCAATAACTTTGGAGTTTGTATAAATATCTAATCAAATCAAAATAAAAAAATCATGTATTCCAAAAACATTTGAGTCACTCCATACATACATACATACTGCAGAAATTGAGCCCCTTAAAGCATACAGCAGGTAGTTACTGACCATATGAGTTTACCCAGATAATGATGATGGTAATGAAGCTGACTGATATGAAGAGGAGGTAGATGCCGAACAGCAGGCGGTCTATGACGAAACCCACCTGGATCCATTCCTCCGATTTCTGGCTTCCACCCAGATGCTGCTCCACTTGGAGGCGGATGGCCTGGAGGTCCCTGGCCAGGCTCATCAGCTCCTGAAAGGCTTTTCCCTCCACCGCTGGACCTTTCTCCTCGAGAGGCCTCTCATCTGCTTTTTGCTGTGCCAACACAGGTTTCATGTCTAGTTTTAAAGGAAAAATGTTGAATTTTTTTCGTTTAAAGTGGTGTATGTGTGACAACCATCATGTTGATCCATCTGATGTACTTTGTATATTCAGTCATTTTCTAATTAATTTTAACCACCATAAAACTACCTATTAATGGTATACCTCAATCCCTTAGTCTTCTGAGACAGGCAAACAAGACAGCCCAGAATTTGCAGAACAAACGCAGACTTTCTGCACCTCATAATGCACATGACTGCATGAATAGTTTTGCCTTTGTGTGAAACCACATCCCAAGTCTACCTAGTCATACCTAGTGCAGCAGGATTGTGGATGACTGTGTCCTCTAGATCTCTGGGCTTTGGAGGAAGCCGTACCAAGCAGCCAAGGATGTGAAGAACAAACACCCTGACCCAGTGAGGGACGGGAGGGAAGTCAGCAGAGCCGCACAGCAGATTGGTAATGATGATAGTCTCCAGTAGACTTGCCACCATCAGAGCCAGGCAGATAGAGAAGAACACATCTGGCAGAGAGAGCCGAGTGAGATATGTATGTCTAAAGATGCTTCTTAGTAACAACTAGATTAACAGCAGAATAAAAAAAACACATTTAAAAGCAAGCTACAGATATAACAGGTTTCAATAGATAACTGACTTATGAGAGGTATGGTGTTTCCAGTGATAGGCAGCAGGTCGTTCATGATGAGCAGGAAGACTGTGTAGCCCAGGATCAGGGTCATCTTGAAGGAGGATCGGTCCACAGTCTGGGGAGGCAACAGGAAGCTGAAGAGGTCCACTGTGATGAGGAAACAGCTCGGGATCAGGAGATTCACCACATACATGGTGGGCCGGCGCTTCACTCTGATCTGCAGAGGGAATAAAGCAAAACGCCAGGCACCTTTTCTGTTCAGTTTTGAAATTGAAAAACTGTATATTTAAAGGGTAATGATGATTAAACGAACATACAGTGCAATTTTGAGTTAGAGAAATCGTCAGTCATAGTGAAAATGGAAAGACATCAAGTATTTCCCTGTTGTTTTAGCCCTTTCATGCATGAATTATGACAGCCTCTGTCAGGATTTTTTTCCTATGTGTTTTTATTGCTCTTTAGGCATGCAAAATAAAAAACATTTTTTCAAACAAATTTTTCAAGGAGTTTTTTAAATGTCCACTAAGGTGGACAGCATGCGCCTAAGGTTTTAACTGCAGAAATATTTATTTAACAAACCAATGAATAAAATAATATGGTATGCGAAAACTATATTTTCAAGGCTGTTAAACTAATGTGGTTACATATTTTAACATATTCTAATACATTTTAATGCAATGCAAAAACATTGAACCTCACGTCTGACTTCTCAGCCTCTCTTTCTCAGCACCCTCAGCTCCACTATCACTGCTGCTAGCGTTTGGGGTTCCACCTATTTCTGGCAGCCATTCATCATCACTGCCACTAATATTATCCTTACTTGCTGATGGAATTTGCTCCACTATCCTGAATGTCTTTCTATTACTTGCTGCAACACACTACATGTTACTCACATAATGGAACTAATCTGCACAAAATATTGTTTTTGTTACAAAAACTGCAAGTTTTACATTCTAATAACATAAATCCATTGATTTACATCCAAAAAGGTTAGTGCACATAAAGTATTTTCAAGAAATACAGTAATCAGTAATAGTTAATTGTTTTTGAAATATAGCCAGCAATGCATAATGTCCAATTTAGTGGACAGATACTGTATCTGTTTCTGCTAGGGTTTCCCAAAGCAGTTTTTCAGGTGTGCTGTACCAAGTACTTTGTGCAATCTTACACAGGATGGGCAGGTAAATATACGATTTCCACATATTCGGGATGCTCTGAATGAAAAAAATAACTTTTTTACGCAGTGGCTACTTTCCTTCCTGACTCTACATGGCGCAAACCATTAAAACACGCAAAACCCTCATTTAAATACTGCCACCTCCATTGTGATTGCACCTGTTGTCATCTACGCAGTAATTCAGAAACAATAAACAATAACAATAAACAGAAATCCTGGTCATCGGGTCCCAGCAGATGGCAAATCAAATACTGCCATCTGCTGGTTCCCTAGTAAATCACATTAAGCCTGTGGCAAAGAACCTTGGTGTTTGGTTTGATAGTAATTTAAATTTCGAGCAGCACACCACAAAGCTTGTTCAATCATGTTTTTATCAACTTAGAGATATAGCAAAAATTCGATCTATGTTAACTTTTAAGGACACCAAGACCATTTTACACGCCTTCATCTCATCATGCCTGGATTATTGCAACAGCCTTTTCACCTGTTTAACCCAAAAATCTATTGATCGACTCCAGACTGTCCAGAACTCAGCTGCCAGGCTTTTAACCAGAACAAAGAAATATGACCACATTACCCTATTTTAGCTTCATTACACTGGCTCCCAGTATGTTTTAGAATTGACTTTAAAATTCTATTGATCACTTTTAAAGCTCTTCATGGCCTCTCGCCTTGTTATATTTCTGACCTTTTAGTCCCATACGCACCAGCACGTACCTTGAGATCCTCGGGCAGAGGTCTGTTGTCTGTTCCAGAGTCTTGACTGAAAACTAAAGGGGACAGAGCGTTTGCTGTCAGGGCCCCGAGGCTCTGGAACAGCCTGCCCGAGGAAATCAGGTCAGCTGAGTCAGTGAACTCTTTTAAGTCCCTTCATAAAACATACTTTTATAGGAGAGCCTTTCCCAATCTTATTTGACTTTATTTTATCCCTTTTATTTTATTCTATTTTACTAATTTTATATTTATCTTAAACGTGTATTTTAGTCTTTTCTTTTCTCTTATCTTGTATTGTTTTTGTATTATTGTTTTTTGGGTATTATTGCCTTTCCACTTGTTAAAGCACTTTGTAACTTGTTTTTCAAAAGTGCTCTACAAATAAAGATTATTATTATTATTATTATTATTATTATTATTATTATTAATTCTTAGTTAAGGTTACAATAGGTAACTACAATAACACATGCAATATTTTGGAACATATACGCACTTCTGTACTCTTTATTCAGGGTGTTAGTAAATTCGGCCCATAGTATCTTCACTGTACTGCAACTTCACAATATAGGTTTGCTTGCTTTTAACCCAGTTATCCACTCTTTCAATCTAATCGTGAAATGCAGCTTACTGTCAATTTAAGACATTATAATCAACTTACATGAAATGCAAGCTCATCAATGTATTGACTTTCATCAAGTCCTGGGTCGTCCTTGTGGGAGGTGATATCCAGCAGCTCCCACTCCCCCATGGTGGTCATCACCATCTTGGAGTTTTCAGTGATGTTTTCTGCAGACGTGCCCAGTAAAATCTTTACGTCCATCGCTGGGGAGAGATTAACAATGAAATCTACCATCCGGTAATTGTCAAGGCAGATAAACACACATATCCACATTAGAGAGATGTAGGAATTAATTATTTATTATTATATTCATGAAATTTGCATAGATTATATATATATATTTTATTCATGTTTGTTGTTCCAAACTCCTGACAAAAAGGGTAAAAATGTTGAAAAAAAGCTAGAAATAGTGGACCCCTCTGAAACTCTCTGTGATTGTGCATAGACTACAGGTGAATCAATTTGCAATGACTGAACTGAAATTGGCTCATAATGCAACAGATGTTGTCATGGTGCATTAACAATAAAACCTTTGTCCAGAGACACAGTGAACCTAAGGTATCACACGTCACATGGTGTTTTTGTTATAGTTTAACTTTGGCTTGCACACAAACGTTTATTAAATACATGATTATTTGTCTGTTTCCTTTTTCCTTTGGTAAGTGGCCGTGGTACAAAATAAGCACAAAAAAGGCACTCTCATGCATTATTTTTACAGAAGGGACAAAGCTTACTTACTGCCTCTTTACGGTCACATTTCCAATTCTTTTGACCAAAACTGACATTGTGTGAAGTGCCTTACCAAAGTGCAGGTAGGAGTTGAAAGTCAAAGTGCAGTTTTGTATGTCGAAGGGGAAGGTGTAGATATCGAGGTTACAGGAGCTGACAACTTTGACTGGAAGAGCATCGTTTATCATACCATTGCTATTCACGTACAAATACGGGACAAAGGGAGCGGTGTTTTCATCCATACTGCAAGACAGGAACCAGCAGAGGAGTTATGAGTGAAAAGTTTGCAATATGAGAGCATGGTCCTATTTCTAAATTATAGCATAAAGCAGAGGAAACAAGAAGTTCTGGCTTCACATTTTTGGCCTTTGCCCAGACTGGGTATCTGTTCTTCCCATCAAAGCCAATCATTTCAAATAATTTCACGATATACAGCAGCGCTAACTAGTCAGTAAGTTGTACAAAGCACAGTCATGTTAGGTTCAGCTGCTATGTGATACTTTACATTGAATTTATCACAGAGACAATAGAGTCAAAGGACCTAGCAGTGGAGAGCCCTGCTTTCTGTGGTGCTTTGGAGAGACGCAGTTTGCATTTCAGAATTTAGATGTGTCACTTTTTGCTGCTGCCCGAAATACTCACTAGACCACCAAATATGTATTAATCTGCTGCTGAAAAGAGTCACACACAATTTATTCCTGTTTGAGTGAAGTTTGGTATGAGCTTTGAGATACGGACTAACACATCATTGGTTTTGGTCTTTTCATGGGACTTGTTGACAGTAATAAAAATGTTGTGTAATACCAGCCTTATCCTTAACAAATAAGTATTGTAAGAGTGTGTTGTATGTACTGTAAATACAGTGCCTGGTTTTATATAGAGTATATATAGTATGGAACTCACAATTCATTGATTACAACATCTGGAATCCAAAACTTTTGTCTGGGAAGAGATATCCTGCTGGTTCCGCAGGTGATTGGGTCCCAACTGATAAACTCGTTTATCCACCACTGAAACAACAAAACTGGCATCAGCACGCAGAGCAGGTATACCATAAGTAACAATCACATAATTCACAAAAAATAATCCCACAGTTGTCTTTACACTACTGACTGCGAAATTAGAATGGAGGTTTACACTACTCACATAATTAAGCCAAATGTAAGTGATCAAGAGTTGAGCCTTTTCATCCTGAAAGACAAGATACTTTAACCTAATGTGTTTTTTGGGGGACAGCACGAATCCTTAAGGAAGTCTCAGTGGAGCACAGCAACACAAAGACGTTGTTTAATGGAGGAAACATTTGGTTAAAGACAGGAGAATGATATGTGTCAGTTTTCTTGTGACTCTTTATTGTTTATCAATATTAAATGTATTATACTAAATTATACATTTATAAAGCTCCTCCTTGTATATAAATGACTTATTAGTGATTTGCCAAATTTACTATACATCAGAGGAATTTCATTCTAAGAGAAGTGCCAAATGCTAAATAAAGGGTACAATGCATATACACACTCAGTCCACTCATCTGCAACATACCACTCCTAGTATCCCATACATGATGAAGTCTGTAAAGATGTTGGTGCAGGTTGTCATGTTCATGACAGGTCGTATATCGCTCAGGTTAAAGACTGGATTTAGAGCATTCAGCAGGGCGGGTTGGTTTGGCTGAGAGCAGTTCATCTGAATAGCACTCCACACACCTGATGAGGAGATTTGTCATAAGTCCAGTCATAAACATGATTTGGCTCCTGTGATTTTCAACAAAACAGAAGACCTGCAACTTACAAAGTGCTCAGCTTTAGTTTGCCAGTAAGCACTGGGATTTTGATTGACTTACAGTCTTCCAGTATTTGGCTTGACAATATGGCACATACAATATATATAGTTCAGCTGTTCATGCAGTATACATTGTTCTGTGCTTTCATGATTCGTTACTGGTGCTACCTTGTTGGTTATGTTTCTGAGAATAACTTTTGATGTGAGGAAGACCTCATGCCTAAAAGTCCTTACCCAAAAGCTTACCTGGTATGAGAATGACAAACATGACCAGAGTGGGCCTGACTGATGGAGGGAGACACTAAAATAGAACAACAATTGTTTCAATTTAAGCACCTAAAATATTAAAACCATTTACGTATTTAGGTATTCACTATTAAAGAAAAGGTTATCAGTTACAGAGACAGTCTATTAGAACTGATGCTGTGTTTAGTCTTAGAAATAACATACAGAATGTGCAGCAGGAGAAGTTACTTTACCTTCAGTATAATGTCCTTGGATTTCATGATGTCAAGATTTAGTCTTTATCTTTCTACAGCTGTCAAATGAAAGCAGTTCTTCAGTATAGCACAGAACACACAGAATAATCCTCACACTGCTTTATGAGAACATTTACTTTTATTTGTCTATTGTATCAGTCATCTAAAATGTAGACAGTCTATTTAGATTCTAATAAGTCTGCTGATCTTATCCATAAATAACCATTGCCAGACAACAAAGACAGACTCACCACTTACCTGGCAAACCAACTCTTGCTAGACTAAATTCAGCCTTAGTGAACAAGATATACATAGCGCCACTGTAAACCAAGCGTGATGTGGACAAAGTCCTGGCAAATGATGTGGGAAATGGAAAACTCTGCAAGGCGGCTACTTTTCCTGCAAGTGGTTTCATACAAAATACAGATAACCCACAGTTAATGGGTTGTATCGAAGTGTGTGACTTGTAGATGGTGACAAATGACCACAGCGGCATCAGTGTCACACCTGCCAACTGTACGCAAATAAGCAGTGGGTGGCCTGAAACATATGTTCTCTGGCCTCACCTCAAGCTTTCTGTCAGCCAACCCTTTTTTTGTTTTATATTAATGTTGTCCATCAAAAAATTAAACAGGCTGCACAACTCTGCTCCAATACACAATGCTTTAATCCCCATAACTCCTGCCAGTCAACCTTTTTTGAGACAGTGTGACACTTGTTCTTTGTTGTTTCAAATTGTTGTTTATCTCTTAATTCAAACAAATTGCTGAACACCGTCATAAACATGTAGTGCATCACTTTCTGTGTACCATGGACTAAAATTCAGACCAGACCAGTTGCCTTAGTGACTTTTTTATACGTGTCAGTATTCTTTGACAGGCCTTCATTCTCTCATTTAGTTCCATATTTACATATTAAATAATAATAAATACATTTGACCAATTTATTTGAAAACACAAATTACCCATACTACAAATCACAAATACATTTAGTTTGCTGCTCGTGCAAGCTTTATTTATCCATTACATTTCTGTTTGATAGAAGGCATGTTTAATGCTTTCGAGATAAAGAGTTAATATGTTAAAGAAACTGACTGCCAACAAGCAAAAACATGAAAGCATACATGTACTTGATTGTTGTATAGAGGAAAAATATTTAGAGGAAGCAAGAAAATGAAGCTGAATGACATGGGGAAGCGTCTTATTCTGCCAGTTGATGCTAGTATGAGCTCAGGCAGTAAATATCCATCCATCTATCCATCGTCAACCGCTTATCCTGTGTACAGGGTCGCGGGGGGCTGGAGTCTATCCCAGCTGACATCGGGCGAAAGGCGGGGTACAACCTGGACAGGTCGCCAGTGCAGTAAACATTATTAAAACTAAAAAAAATCTTCAAAACAGCTTGAGACAAATATGATTTATTTGTTTTTAATGAAAGAAAGGCTGACTTGAAAGCAACACAAGCTTAACTCCTTGTACAGATGCCTTGAATGCAGGCCTCACAATGAGCAGGCTCATGGGGACTTTTGACATCCAGGCTTATAAAAGGCCTGTTCCCTCTGCCCAGGTCTTCATGGTAGCATTTCATTCTTATCTTCTCCACCAGATTCTCCAGGAGGATATCGATGTTCTCTGTGGAGATGCTGGGCGTCTCCATTGGAGCTTTGTCGCACTTCTTGCATTCTGACGGAAGCGCCTCACCTTGACAACGCCCTGCCTGTCTACCAGGCGCATGTGGAAGACCACCATCACCTTGTTAGAAGGCCAGCCTCTTTTACACCAGCTGCAGTCAAACCTTGAAAATGAAAGCTGAAGGTAAAGAAAGTCTAAACTGGCTCTTTAACAAAATTAATGCCAACCAAAGTTACGATGGAAACTCAAGTTTTAGCTATAGACAAAGTTCTTGGAAGCAGCGACAATCTGGTAGAAGACATTATGTGATTGAGTTTACATGTCTTTTGGCTGACCCAAGTGATTGACTCTCTAGCTAAATAACATGGTGAGATACAAATGCATAAGGTAAATAGGAGGAGACAGAGCAATGTGAAGTCACCTTCCTCCTGATTACATTATGAAACCAGAACTCTTTCTCTGCCATTTAAGTGTTGCCAACCTAAAACCTATAGCTTAGCCAATGAGATTATTTCTTCTTTCAAGATAACTCTTAACTCCCAAATAACACAGCTTTTGTCACACTGTAGATGGCATTAATTTCCATTAACTTGACTCTTATCCTAATCTTAATCAGTAAACAAGTCTTTACCCTAAACTGGAATGGTTTACCTTGACGGGGCCAGTTTTTGTCCCCAAATCAGACGTGAGTCACCACAGTCTGACTATGTGAACAGATTTTTTTCCATTCAACTTAAGTGGTGCAAATACACATAGTACACACACACACAAACCTTAATAAACCTATAGTGCACCACTATACCATAATTTATACTAACCTGACATATACAATACTGTAAATACACACACCAACCATTGTGATTAACAATAGTCCAGCATACTCACCATGCACCTGTGTTCCTGATGTACTCCTCCCATCCCAGGTTTGGGCTGTTAGGCACAATACTTTCATCAAACTGCAGATGCCAGGAATCTCCTTGTTTAAGAATATTTGCTTTCATCTGGAAGATACTTGTCCACTCGGGTTGTGCCATCATCAGTGTCCGTGGTGCCCAAAGAGGATACAAAACAGGGCTGAAGGAGGGATGCAACTCACACAGCTGATCTGTACAGTACACAAACAACTTGTCAAAATGACTCATCCCTAGGCTGAGAGACTTTGACTGTGAACATACCAAAAGAGAGTTTCAGGAAAATGAAACCTAAAAGCTGAAAATTGGTTTCCTTAAGTTTCGGGTCTAGTTTAGTACTATGAATGGAGTGAGGAACGCACGTTTGTTTCACTATGACAGATGTTAAGCATATAAAAACATTACTCACTGTGACTGACAGTGCAGTTCTTGTATGTATTTCCAACAAACCGCTCATAATCGCTGCTGTCAGAAATGTAGTGCATCACTTTCTGTGTGCCATAGACTCTTTAGCACCCAGCTGACACCATTAATAAGAAAGTTAAAACCTACTGTAATAAAAATTCCATTTTTTGATATTCTCACCTGCACATGTCCAAGTATTCTACTGTTAAAGGAGTCACCAGTTGCCTTAGTGACTCCTTTATACATGCTTTAAGTGTCAGCATTCACGGACAGGCCTTCATTCTCTCATTTAGTGCCTTATTTAAACATTTCACATATTCACAGAATTTATTTGAAAACAGAAAATACCCACAAAACAAATCACAAAGACATTTAGTTTACTGATTGTATAAGCTTTATTTATCAATTACAGTTCTGTTTCAAGGCTTGCTTAATGGTTTTGAGCAACAAGCAAATGTGTTACAGAAAACTGAGCACCAACAAGAATACATATAATAACTTACAACAATTGATGCTTTTCTCATAGGAGTTTAGGCATAAAACATCATTAAAACTCTTAATAAAATAAAATAAAAACTTCAGGAATAAATACAAGACCGTCTGAGGCAACTATGACATACGTTTTTAAATTAATAGATGGCTTTAATTAATAGAAGCAACACAAGCTCAACTCCTCGTACAGATGCCTTGAATGCAGGCCTCACAATGAGCAGGCTCATGGGGACTTTTGACATCCAGGCTTATATTAGGCCTGTTCCTTCTGCCCAGGTTTTCATGGTAGCATTTCATTCTTATCTTCTCCACCAGATTTTCCAGTAGGATGTCAATGTTCTCGGAGCTGATGCTAGGCGTCTCCATTGGAGCTTTGTCGCACATCTTGCAGTTCTGACGGAAGCACCTCACCTTGACAAAGCCAATGCCGCCTGTCAAGCACATGTGGAAGACCACCATCACCCGGTTAGAAGGCCAGCCCCTTCCACACTTGGTGCATTTGAACCTTTAAAATGAAAGAAGACGCAAGTTAAAGAAAGTATTGCAACAACCAACCAAAGTTACGATGGAAAGTCAAGTTTTAGCTATAGACACAATACTTGGAAGCAGCGATAATCTGGAAGAAGAAATTATATTGGGTTAAAAAGTACTGACTCTTTGGCTAATTAATGTTGTTTGTAAAGACTGAAGTCAGTGCAAAAAGTAAATGTGAGGAGATATAGCCATTTGACGTCACCTCTTTCCTGCTTACTAGTGATGAGCAGATGAAGCCATAAGAAGCTTTAGGTCTCTCTTTCTATTTGTGCCAAAAGAAAAACAACTATTCAAAACTTTGGGGCTTCAAATGCAACACAGTGACACCTGGTGGTTTGCAAACTTATAGCAGCCCTTCTAGATCAAGGCCAAAGCACACAACACCTCTCTGATTTTAACTGCTTTAGTCTCATGTGTGCAATAAAAAGCCAAGAAGCCTGCATGTTATTATTAAATCTATGACTTTTTGTTTAGAATTGCTGCATTAAATGCATATATTGTGTGATATGTTACAGTAAAATAATTAATACAAGCATTGTCCATAAAGCCTAAATATAAAATATTTTACATGGTAATGTACCTTATTGGTGTAGTTTGTGCAAACTTAATTTGTGTCACATGCCATTTGTGTCACAATGTTATGTGATTGGAAATTGATATTCATTAAATTAGCCTATTACTTTTATTACATTATTACTTAGGCATGAGCTGGAGATGTTCTCAAATTAATTACTATGTACCTCCCTTTCTAATCGCCATATTTTTGATTTATCTATCTTCTTATCCCAGTAATGTACCTATCACATTTCATCAGTTTAGCTGCAAAACTTTCAAAACTGATCATTTATATTAACCTAACATATAGAATAATATATGTACACACTAACAGAAGTAATTAACAGTAGTCCAGCACACTGACCTTGCACATGTGTTCCTGATGTACTGCTTCCAGCCCATGTTTGGGCAATCAGGCACAAGATTTTCATCAAACCCCAGACACCAGAAGTCCTCTTGTTTAAGTTTCTTTGCTTTAATCTTGAAGATACTTGTCCATTCCTGTAGTGCCATGCTGTTAGTGTCAGTGGTGTCAGGTCCTGAAGAGGAGACAAAACTCTAACAGCTGATCTGTACAATACACAAACAAGGTGTGCAAATGACTCATCACTTTGACTGTAATACAGAGTTTGGGGAAAGTGAAACTTAAGTGTGGAAACCTTCTAGTCGAGTTTTACACATACACTGTATATAAAATGGTTTTACTATATAAATTAAATTTTAAATTCAAGTTTGATTTGCTAAGGAAGATGTTGATCATATAAAAAGCATTAGTCACTTGACTGTCTACTTGAATGAAGAGAAGGGAATGCCCATGAAATGAAAATATAACTGCTTTGCTTGTGTTTGGATAGTTAAGGTGCCCTAGGACGCTTATCTCTGACTGATCTCTGACTATCATTAATTTACTAATATATTATACACATAAGAAATGTGCTTAGTGTGGATTGACTGAAATATATAGTAACTACTAAAAGAATGCAAGAGAAATGAAACTGAAACTGTTTTCCAGATTACGCAACACTGCCACCTGCAGTTATGCTGCATCACTTCTCTGTTTTACAGGCAATGAAAACATATACTAATATTTTCCATCCATCCATCCATTGTCAACCGCTTATCCTGCGTACAGGGTCGCAGAATAACTTCTATATTTTTATTCAAATAGAAGGCACTTTCAGAATATGTATAAAAACATTTGCAGAGGATGGCCTGTAATTGAGCTACTGTCATTATCATTGCCATATACAGAAACAGATATACAGTAGCTCCTCACAATGAATGCCACCTTCTCCTGTGCATGGTTCCACTTCAACTTTCACTTCAAGTCCAGCTTTAACTTCTTTTCTGTCTGAGAAATAAATCAATTGAAAAAAGAGATTAAAAAGTGTTTATTAGATTTGATTGTGCAATGAAACATTCTTATATGATGCTTTACAGATTAACCTGAGTCCCACTCAGCTATCAAGAGTAAATGATGCTTAACATTAAATAATGAACTCATAAACCTTTAATCTCCTTTGGTGAACTACGCATGTAGACACTTTTTATCAGCATCTCATTGTAACAAACCATTAAGGTCTAATGCTTTGCTAACTTAATTTGCAGGTTTAATTTTAGAAGATAGGGTAATTCAATTACTGTAATTTGCCATTCATACCTCATCAGGGCCTGTGTGATGAACAATACTGATTGTAATGAATTACACCATGTTCAACCGTTAGCCTCATTATTATCTGATATGAAAGGCTTACCTCTCCCCTCCTGTTGGCCTGCAGTCCTCTAAATAATGAGAAATTAAACTGAGTACACAGTGTTTACCCTTCTGGCTTTTTGACACAAGCACAATTGATCTGGAATGCATACTGAGTAACTTCAATGATTCTAATATATCATCATGTAGCCTACATTTGAAACAGAATCACTGCAGATGCAGACAATATGCAGAAAGTTCAAATTGGCCAATATGTGATATTTGATACTTAAAATGGACTGGATACTTTGATTTTATTTGGTACAGTGTAGTGTGGAAAATCTCTTCCATTTTCCTCCTACTTACGTGTGATTTAAATCCAATCTTCCTATCTTAACAGCAAGCAAAGATGGGAGATTTACACAGAGAGAATGTGCCAGGACTATCCCTGCTGCTATCAAAGTTAGAGACTAATCTTTAAAGACAGAAAATAAAATCTATGAAATCATAGCAATGTTGTGCCTCTTTTTTCAGGCAAGTGAAGCCAATTCACCTGAAGCCTGACCTGGCTGCAGTTGAAGAGGCCTTGAAAGCAGAGGAGTTCTGAAATCATGATGAAGACAGCAGTGAACTGGATCTGCTGTGTTATATCATTGGATACTGGACTAAGGCTAGCCGTAAACCTAATACCAATCCATGTGGGAGTAAAGGGAATGGAAGGGAATGGGGTAATATAAAAAAAAAGGTCAAGGTTACAGTGACATTTTAGTAGCAAATGACATCAAAGGCTTTCCTTGTCAGAAAAAGAAACCTTGTGAATAAAGAGACGAAGTAGGGATTTTTGTTCCTCTCAAAAATCAGGGATAAGGACAGAAATACAAATTCAGTAGCAGGAGACATAAGCAATTTGGTTGAGGTAGTAGGTTTTAGGCAACATCTCTGTCAAGCTTATATGAGAAATATCTTGGAGAAACTGAGAGGTCCTTGAGTTGTTGTACAAGACTTCCTTGTATGACTGTAGCTGTGTCTTTATTTACATTTTTCTCTGTATGACAAAATAATCTTCAAGTTCTACTTACTGGCCTTTTATGGAGCTGCCAATGGCATCTTCCCATTTGCCTTTCACACTGACTGAAAATTATATGGTAAGAGCACTGAGAAAACTTCACCACGCACAAATTATTAAATATTCTGGAGGAGGAAATGTTACCGAATGAAACATGAAGCATGAAAGTTCATTTTTGATCTTAGAAGTAGTAGTTTGACTTTCAACAGAAGCTCAGTCTTTTTGAACAGAAGGAAAAATAGCACAGAAATAAAAGGCAATTTGATCAAATAAAAAAACTTTCTTTTCAAGATCTTTACAAAACTCTGGAATAGATACACTTAAAATAAATACCCCACTAATCACTGGTTTAGAGTACACCATTGAACAGTCCAGTACGAACGTCTTTACCGTACTCTTATTTTGAAACAGGAAACTATGAAAACTAGGAACGTCGCTATGGTAACGGATACAAATCTGCTAAGATTAGCTTGTTAGCAACCGTCTTCCTTCTTCATGTCCTCTCTGTTGTTGTAGCGAGCATTCAGTTATATTATTGACATGCGATGGAGGGGTCAGACACATACCTCATACGACCTAATCACCAGCACAAGTGAGTTGGTTAGAGTGGTTTAATATCATTTCTAGCAGGTGAAGTTAGCTTTTAGCCTTTTAGCTTTTGTTGCTAACAATATGTTTATATGTTAGCAAAGCAACGACTGGCGTTGGTCTGGGGTTTTGTTTTCAAACAGCACTGGCGTCAGTACTGTAGCGTTAGTTAGTAGGCTTATGGACTGTCAGTTAACCTAACGATAGCTGTAAGGACAATGTGAGGAAAAGTGTGAAACATATCTCCAGTCAAATGCCAAATGTAGGTGGATTAATATAATAATAACATAATTTTTTAAAACAATTTCTGTAACTTTATGATCCCTAATGAGAGAGGCCGATGAGTTGACAGAGCAGGCTCTGTGACTGATTCAAGTAAAATTTCTGACTTTTTGCTCACTGTAAAATCTTCCAGGTTTAAGCCAGCCGTCGTGAAGGAGTGTATTCGGGAAACTGTTAGGGAGCAACTGTCTGGAATGCGGTATGACCCGGAGCAAGTCCCAGAGCTGTCCCGTTCACTGGCGGACTGCATTAAGGGCAAAGTGAAGAGTGAGTGATGCTTCTCCCTCTCTTGTGTTATAACTCAGAATGACACGGAATCCAAGTACTGTTGTATATTTAAAGTGTAGTTCAAAACAATTACTCAAATATAAGTGAAAATGGTTACCCGAAGTGATTTAATATTCAGAATACATATTCAGTGAAATGGCGATATGATCGTTATTTGAACGTGTCTTTTTGGGTTAAACAAAATCGCCTTGGAAATTATCCTCAAGGCAAAAGACTGAAGGGATCCTACCAGTTATGAAACAAACTGCTGCTTTTTATTAATGGGGCCTGGAAGTGCAGAAGCAGGATGAATCCCTTGGGGAGGGAAACAAGTACAATGTGAAGTTAATGAAACATGTAGCCAGAAGAATGAAGCTAAATAAAAGGGTATAAAGTAATTTTTTTTTTTACAGTATAGTCACCAGTATTCATCCTTCTAGTAAAATGTTTTAAATGAGTAGTAGTAGTAAATGCTACACTGTGAATTTAGCATATTGATACACCATACCTGTATTGTTCCTGCACCATGTTCGCAGCACTATAACAGATAATTTCTCTTCCTCAACAGATGCAGGGTTTGACAGATATAAGATTGTTGTGCAGGTGGTCATTGGGGAACAACGAGGACAAGGAGTCAAGTGAGTTATTATTTGGTACTGAAAAAAATAGCTGTTACAATTTGTACACTACTATATTTTAGTGGTATTCTATTGTCTGAGTAAAGCAGGTGTAAAATATGTTGTGCACTGCTGACAGTTTTATAGGGAACAGGGGCAGCCAGAGATTATATAAGTTTGACCCTTTTTACCATAATAAAAGCAAGTTAGAGGATGTGTGTGTGTATTGTGCAGTTAATGGATTCCCAAGTGGCAGTATTACTGTAATACAATTTTTCTGCCCTCACCACTGTCCTGTAGTGGCATTTTGCTTGAATTTACACTTCTGTTACAGTATTTTTTACAGCACTAATATTGTCAACTGTGACACAAAAAGTTTTACTCCAATGTATTTAAAAGTATTAAGAAGACATTTAAGAATTCCAGGAAAGATTTCCAATCAATCACTGCTGACAGCATTATTTAACTAACATTTCCTGAGTTGAATCCTTCTTTTTACTGTGTGATTATGGTTTCAAAATAGCAATATACTCAACCATTTCAGTAGTAGTAGCCAGTAGCTGATATGGACTCAGCTCTGCTCTACACATATACATCAACTTAAAATCAATCCCACAATGTTTATTGACAGTGTCAGGTAGGTATTGACTCACTAATTTTTATGGCTGTAGTTTTATATTGAAAAGTGTTTCTAATATTCTGCCTATATCATGTACGTAAATGGAGCTGGACAAAATATCTCAAATACCACAGAGTAGAATGTTCTCTCTGACTTATTGTCAACAAAATGTTATAATGGTAATATCATAGTGCAGGGCACTTCCTTTTGATTACATTGCGTTGTAGTTTTTCTGAAAGTAGTTCAGAGCTTCAAACATGAATTTTTCTCATGTTTTCAGGATGTCTTCAAGGTGTTTGTGGGATTCTGACACAGACAACTATGCAGAAGATGTTTTCATGAATGTAGGTGCCTTTGTTTTGTTCAGTCAGATGTAAGGGGGAAAACAGACTTCTCAAAGACAGTTTTTTGTTAACTGTGTTTTACCTCTGTAGGACAGCTTGTTCTGCATGGTGGCAGTTTTTGGAAGCTATTACTACTGAAGACAAGAAGGTGGATGACAGAGAATTCTTTCAGATGAAAAGATGTGAGGTGAACATCCAAACGAGACTGCTCAGCGTCAGCATTTCGGGTCCATCTGAAGTAACTGTGAATGGATTTGCTAAATCTTGAGATCAACAGAGATGACATCCATTGTAAAAGTGATGGATCTGTGCTGATACTGTAGTGATTTTAAAATGAGGGATTTCACCAGGTTTTTCCTGACAAAATGATTATTAAAGACTCAAATAATAACTAAAAATACTAAATACTTTGACAGATATCATGTTTTACCTTGAAATATGTCATTCTTGAGTCCTTAAATGTCACCAAACATGTCCTCAAAGGTGGTGAGAAGTTTGACGTTAGTGTGGGTGTGGGAATCCTCAGTGTATTCATGAGATGCTATGTTTACTAGAGAAGGCAGCTGATTTTCACATTCATCAGGGAAAATGTCAAAAGTTACCACATTTTCCTTGACTTTATAAGATAAATCCTTAAAATATTGACCACTTAATTACCAATAGATTCAAATACCTCCACGAATATTTCCGAAAACATTATAATGTGTGCTTAGCAGACCTACTAGATTAGCAGATTGCTTGAGATCACACACATTACAAGCTTTATGGACGACTGCAGCAGCACGAGTACTTTTAGCTGCACAGTAAGGCAACTGAATATAATTCAGTACAATCCGTATTTGCACTACACTTTACATGCTTGATTTAGCACAGCAGCTACGGTAGAGGTCAGTATTTGTCTCAACATCATGACATGATCATTTCTAAAAGTTGTAAATATACAGTAATTGAACAGGAAAGACTTTACTAGAAATCTGACCATTGTCAAGTGTATCACCGCCTTTATGATTGTAAACCTCATTCTGCCTCCAGTTATGCTTTGACTGAAGTCCTTGCACTGTAAATATTAAATCAACCCTTAGTTGACACCATGACTTTGTTGTCTCTTAATGTGGGCATCCTATTCAGCAGTAAACAATTATCTAACACAGAAGTGATGTAGCTTGGCATTTTGAAGACTGTAACAACATAAAAAATTCTTTCTATATCAGATATCCAATAATATAATTTGAAAAGGTTTGCCTACTGTTATCATATAAGAAGTTTTTTATATACACTGTATACACTACCGTAACATTACAAAAATCAAAAATTATTATCACATTGAGCATTTGTAGAAAAACTAAAAACAAATCAAACCACCACCGAAAATATTTTAAACCTTTGCACTGTATTATACGGTTCATTGTTGGATTTTTGCAAGTGTAAAATGAACAGAATTGAATTTGGATAAAACAGGAATAGGCACTGTTCTCCCAAAGCAAAGACATAAAGTAATAACCTTCTTTTAATTACAAAATGAAAAGAGGTTGGTTATCTTGGTTAAAACAAACAAAAAAACATTGGCACTAACAATGCACATCACTAAACCATGATTCCACTTGTTTATTTTAACTAAAATATCACAACTAATTTGACATTATAAAAATGCACATTTTCACATAATGTGCTACAGGACTTATGCCTGCATGAAAATGAGGATAGATATCTGTTTTGATTGGATGATTGTACACTTTTTTACAATGTTAATACAATAGCGTTGACTTTATACGTGGAGGTTGTTTTGCTTCATACATGCATGGGACTCATTTAGGATTAGAATGCAAACACTGGCTACCATATGTCAATAGTAAAACGGATTTCAAAAGCATTGAACTCTTTTAGTGGGTCATAAGGGATGAGAGCCAGTGACATAAGCTGGTTGTATGTCACTGGCCCTGGGTTGCCCTCATCCTGGAGCCTTCTTGATGAAAAATAGCTGAAGAGTCAACTGATTTGCTGCTATCAAGGGATTTCTGTGTTGCTACACTGTACTGAAGTCATGATGGAGAAAGCAGCTTCCTCCAAATTCTCAAAAATCACAATCAGTCTCTCTCAGACGCACGAGAAGAGATATCCGCTTAGGGGTGCTGCACAGTAGAAATGCGCACATGACACGACTGTGTGTGGGCACGCACTTGCACACTTTCCCTCAACACAGAGTGGTTACAAGCATGGTCATATGAGGTTACCGACCTTTGTAATTATATGTATTTATAAATAAAATCTTTCGAATAAAAACATTGATAACACAATCAATTTAAATGAAGGCTATGCGGGCGCAGCTGATTACACCGTTGCTACCCTCATTTCAACTTGAAAAACTTTTCCACGCTCAGTGTCTACACTTAGCACAAACCTGCTGTATTTTATATTGTCACATTGTTCCCATTTGACAAGAGACATGCTGGAAACCTTTTGTTAAAATAGCATCACTAAGAGGTGCTTCACATTACTGGATCTTTGGAGTACACCAGATGGCCAGTAACAGCCCATCAAACTGTAAGCCATCACAAAGCACCAAAAGATAACACAGTTTGACCATACGAATAAATATTAGTGAATGACAAAGAAACACATATTCGATCACTTTAAACAGAATATTAAATCACATGCACAGCTTTTAGGTTGGCTTAACATTTGTACGTTGTTATGTCAACACAATTTTGAAATACAATACAAGCTCTGTTGACTGAAATATATTCTATTGACTGAAATGTTATCATTGTTAAAACTTAATTTCACTTCTGTTTTTGTGTGTTTTGCTCGTGATAGTTGATAGTCTGTCTTCCTTTAGGAAGCCATCAGGACTTAAATAGTTGTTTTTGGGCTGCTGGCAAAGACTATAAACCGCGATATTCTTTTCACACAAGGCACTTTCCCTTTAACTACAGTATTTGTAACTATTGCCAGTTATCTGTCTAACAAAGATAACTGAATCTAAGTGAAACGTTTGCCAACTCTTCTCCCCTGTAATTTGTTGGTGAAATTGAGATGTCGGTCTTCAATTAGACAGGAAGTCATTATCAGATGTTGCTGTGTTTTTGTAATTACTCTTGAGCCTCTTCCATTAATTTCAGCAAACCGTCCCCCAGCTGGAAAACTAGATGCTTTTCAGACTATATATAAAGACTAATGAGACGGATGTGAGCAGCTGAAGTGATCAAGCGTAGCTGAATCAATTAGTCAAATGACTCAAACTGTGATTACATATACATGCCAAAGTAGGTTTTACCCTGCTATTTCTGGTTGTAAAGTACAGCTAAGTTGTGAATTAACTTCTAGAATCTCAAATACATCACTCATATCCTCTGGCCATTGTAATTTCTTCCCAATATTATAATAAATAGCATAGTATTAGTATTATAGTCATAGTTTGTCATACACATTGCTACATATTATCTTTTGCTGCAAAACCACATCAGTAAGTATTTACCTAAATGGATCATAATTTTGAATCGTAATTTTGAAGGCTGACTATTTGGACAAATAGTTCCTCTTGAGGAGTTTGAGGTGGAATCACTTCCAAATAAGATGAAAAACAGCAACTAGACAAAAAAAACAGAGACGTCACGGTGTTGTATGCCTATATATCCCCTGAGCCGCATGTGCCTTATGCATTGTTCAGTGTTTGTTCCTTTTTTGTTATGTGAACATAAATTAAAGTATTAATACGTGATTACAAGTGACAGAAGAGACATAGTTCATTTAATATTTATTTATAGAATTTACTGTACCGTATGTTTACATCTTGTTTGCTCATTGAAGCTTCTACTGTTTTGACACATCTCATTCTCGCTAATCATCTTCCAGCTGATGAAACAAAACAGACTTCTTATGGAACTGAGTGGACATCAAACAAATTACCTGAACTACTCTGAGAGTTATTTCAATATGTGTACGTTTGTGTGGGGGCTCATTAAAGGATCATTTTGGCATTTTTAAACCTGGGCCCTATTTTTACATATTTCGGTGTCGAAATGACTAGTTGGTTTTGGATTCTGTGCAGTAGATAGATTCAGCCACTGCAGCCGTGAACCGGCGTGACTCCCGGAGACCCTTTGTTTTTAACAAGAAACAACTCTCTGAAATTGAAGGGAGTTATTTGCAGTTGTAGTTATTTTGGAATTGTCAGTGGAAAAAAGGGAGTGGAGTTTGTTGTGTACAAAGAGGAACTACTAGCAAGCCTTTATTTCCGAACTTTACACAACAATCTGCTCTCTCCAACTCTGACAACGTCTTCCTGCAACATCTCGCCTCTCACAAGAGTGAGAATTGTCCCTGAGCGTTTCTGCTGTGTTTGCTCAGAGATGAGACAGAAACAGAGGATTTGATGCTGCGCTGTAATTGCACTATATACACTTTAAAATGATTGTTAGTTTTGGTTTTTATGTAAAAAAAAATCTAGGAATGTATTACATATTGAATATAAAAAAATAGATCAATAATTAAAGTTTACCTGTAGCATAATCAGCAGGTGTTTGCATTTGAATCACTTCACTTTTCAATACGGGGTTTACTATAAACCATCCTCTTGCAGTTGGGAAGACAAGTCGCGGCGAGAGGGACCGGAGTCCTGGTGAGGCTACACTTGTGGATTATGTTTTATTGGCTGAATTTAAGGCTACTGCTTTCACAAAAAAATCTTAAGTTCTTAAGTTATTACAAGATTCAGACTAACCTCACCCAACAGAGTGTTACTGACACCCCTGAATCAGGCCAATTTGCAGAATGTGAACTAACAAGTCTCCACTCAGCACATTTATCACTTGAATTAGATGATCTAGTGTTTTTGATAAGAAAATCACAGTTAAAGAATTCAGCTGGTTATATTCTATATTTTTCTCTTTGTCAAGAGCAAAACCAACAACTGATTTATCCTCCTAACAAGTATTTTTGGTGTAACCAAATATAGCTTGTGTCTACATTGCCACAAGCCTACATAGCCACCACCTGTTGAAAATGCCTTAAAAAGTTAGTATTTAAAAACAAATCAATATGTGACTTTTAAGCTCACATGAAACCATAGATAGACTCATGTTAATTCTTTCTGACTTGATTGGTTTTTACTTTTTTACTTTTGGACTTTGTCTTGTCCTGTATATAGAACGATCAGCTTTCCTCACCATTTATGTCATCTTGTGTTATTCAAACCTTCCATCTGTAGTCAACAGATGTCATTGTCTATTCCCACGAGCCTGTGTATTGATTAAGTTATATTGATTTTCTCCTGACCCTTAATTTCTTTTCTGGCTTAAAGCCAACAGTATCTGGATACCTGCCCTTCAGAACGTAACCCAGAACTGCTCTGGTTGAAGATGCTTTAACCCAAGTGCAGAAGAGTACTCTTTAAAATCCCAATGTGTGAGTAAATGTTATATTGAGGGAAATATTCAAATCAACCCACCGTGACTAAATTAATTTATTGGATGAGCTGCTAAGAAAATGAAAGTACGAGGTGACTTTCATAATCCTTTTTAATGTATGTTTTAACTTTTACCACTTGAAAACCATGCACCTCTATATGAGGGTGTCACATTACTCCCACAGGACCCTATTGGATTCCTTCACAGCTACCTTTTCTAATCGACTCTCACTGAATTTGAACATCAGTGTTATCAAAGACGGTTGTTGCTATTATCAACATTTAAAGGATGTTGTGTGACACTGCAGAAACTCTTCACTTAGTCAAAGGAATAACCTTTTATTTTTTACTTTATTTAAAGGTGAAAGTTTCAGTGACATCTATTGGTGAGTGTTGTGAATTGCAACAAATTGCAAAAAAACTCCTCACACAACGTAAGCTATCCAAGTGCCTCAGATAGCTACAGTGGCCGACACAGGACAAAAGAGAGTAGCCAGTCAAGAAATGATTTCTTAGATAGATATAATGAGAAATTATCCATCCATCCATCCATCGTCAACCGCTTATCCTGCGTACAGGGTCGCGGGGGGCTGGAGCCAATCCCAGCTTACATTGGGCGAAAGGTGGGGTAAACCCTAGACAGGTCACCAGTCCATCGCAGGGCCACTCACACTCACATCCACA